CCAACAGCTAAGTCCTTGACCAATATAATTAAGAGACATGCGCGCGACGCGGCACAATTCACACTCGCTGCGATAGCAGAAGCATCTCGGTCTTCACAAGACTTAAACCCGACACGCTGCATTGAAACGTGCCCTCGCTTACGGGGCGGTCTGAAACTGCCGCGCATTAGCGTGAAGACTCCATGGGACCGCGAAGGCCCTAATCACGTAATGCGCGAAGAATCCCAATTACGACTAAGACTGCCGCGCTGCCGCGCATGCGACAAGCCTCCCAATCACGTACGAAGACTGCCGCGCATGCGAGAAGTCTCCCAATGACGCGCGAAAACTGTCGCGCATGCAGGAAGACTCCCAATAACGTGCGAAGACTGCCGCGCATGCGAGAAGACTCCCAATCACGTGCGAAGACTGCCACACACGCGCGAAGGCTCCCAATTACGTACTAAGACTGCCGCGCATGCGAGAAGACTCCCAATGACGCGCGAAGGCTATCACGTATGCGCGAAGACTCCCAATCACGTGCGAAGACTGCCGCGCATGCGAGAAGACTCCCAATCACGTTCGAAGACTGCCGCGCATGCGAGAGGGCTTCATATGACGCGCAAAGGCTATCACGCATGCGCTAAGACTCCCAATCACGTGCGAAGACTGCCACGCATGCGCGAAGACTCCCAATCACGTACTAAGTCTGCCGCGCATGCGACAAGCCTCCCAATCACGTGCGAAGACTGCCGCGCATGCGAAAAAACTCCCAATGACACGCGAAGGCTATCACGTATGCGCGAAGACTCCCAATCACGTGCTAAGACTGCCGCGCATGCGAGAAGACTCTCAATGACGCGCGAAAGCTGCCACTCGTGCGCGAAGACTCCCAATCACGTTTGAAGACTGCCGCGCATGCGAGAAGACTCCCAATGACGCGCGAAGGCTATCACGTATGCGCGAAGACTCCTAATCACGTGCGAAGACTGCCGCGCATGCGAGAAGACTCCCAATCACGTGCGAAGACTGCCACGCACGCGCGAAGGCTCCCAATTACGTACTAAGACTGCCGCGCATGCGACAAGCCTCCCAATCACGAGCGAAGACTGCCGCGCATGCGAAAAGACTCCCAATGACACGCGAAGGCTATCACGTATGCGCGAAGACTCCGAATCACGTGCGAAGACTGCCGCGCATGCGAGAAGACTCACAATCACGTGCGAAGACTGCCACCCACGCGCGAAGGCTCCCAATTACGTACTAAGACTGCCGCGCATGCGACATGCCTCCCAATCACGTACGAAGACTGCCGCGCATGCGAGAAGTCTCCCAATGACGCGCGAAGACTGTCGCGCATGCAGGAAGACTCCCAATAACGTGCAAAGACTGCCGCGCATGCGAGAAGACTCCCAATCACGTGCGAAGACTGCCGCGCATGCGTGAAGACTCCCAATGACGTGCGACAGCTGCCACGCATGCGCGAAGACTCCCAATCACGTGCGAAGACTGCAGCGCATGCGAGAAGACTCCCAATAACGCGCGAAAGCTATCACGCATGCGCGAAGACGCCCAATCACTTGCGAAGTCTGCCACGTATGCGCGAAGACTCTTAATTTCGTGGAAAGTTTGCCGCGCACGCGCGAAGACTCCCAATCACGTGAGAAGGCAGCCGCGCACGCGCGAAAACTCCCAATCACGTGCGAAGACTGCAGCGCTCGTGCGAAGTCTCCCAATCACGTGGGAAGGCTGCCGCGCACACGCGAAGACTACCAATCACGCGCATAGGCTGCCGCGCACGCGCGAAGACATTCAATCACGAGCTAAGGCTGCCTCGCATGCGCGAAGGCTCCCAATCAGGTGCGAAGACTGCCGCGCATGCGAGAAGACTCCCAATGACGCGCGAAGGCTTTCCCGCATGCGCGAAGGCTCTCAATCAGGTGCGAAGATTGCCGCGCTTGCGAGAAGACTCCCAATGACGCGCGAAGGCTATCACGCATGCGCGAAGATTCCAAATCACGAGCGAAGGCTGCCACACATGCTCGAAGACTCCCAATCACGTGCGAAGACTGCAGCGCATGCGAGAAGACTCCCAATGACGTGCGAAGGCTATCACGCACGCGCGAAGGCTCCCAATCAAGTGCGAAGTCTGCCATGTGTGCGCAAAGACTTCCAGTCACGTGAGAAGGCTGCCGCGCACGCGCGAAGATTCCCAATCATGTGCGTAGACTGCTGCGCATGCGAGAAGACTCCCACTGACGTGCGAAGACTGCAGCGCGCGCGAAGTCTCCCAATCACGTGGGAAAGCTGCAGCGCATGCGAAAAGACTCCCAATGACGCGCGAAGGCTATCACGCATGCGCGAAGACTCCCAATCACGTGCGAAGACTGCCACGCACGCTCGAAGACTCCCAATCACGTGCGAAGACTGCCATGAATGCGCGAAGACTCCCAATCACGAGCGAAGGCTGCCACGCATGCGCGAAGACTCCCAATCACGTGAGAAAGCTGCCGCGCACGCGGAAAGACACCCTATCACGCGGGAAGACTGCCGCGCCATGACTCCCAATCAGGCGCGAGAACAGACGCGGACGCGCGAAAACTCCCAATCAGGAGCTAGGACTGCCGTGCGTGCGCGAAGACGTCCAATCAGGCGCGAGAACTGCCGCGCACGCGCCAAGACTCCCAATCAGGCGCGAGGACTGCCGCGGACGCGCGAAGACTCCCAATCACGTGCGAAGATTGCAGCGCATGCGAGAAGACTCCTAATGACGCGCGAAGGCTATCACGCATGCGCGAGGACTCCGAATCACGTGCGAAATCTGCCACGTATGCGCGAAGACTCCCAATCACGCAGGATGGCTGCCGCGCACGCGCAAAAGCTCTCAATTACGCGCGAGGATTCCCACGCATACGCTAAGACTCCCAATCACGTGAGAAGACTGCCGCGCATCCGCGAAGACTACCAATCACGCGCGAAGGCTGCCGCGCACGCGCGAAGTTTCCCAATCACGCGCGAAGACTGCCACGCATGCGCAAAGACTTTCACGGCCGGTAAATTACTTTCTGTCCGTAAGTTACCTTTAGTCGGTAAGTTACCATCAGTCGGTAACTTACCATCAGTCTGCAAGTTGCCATCGGTCGGTCAGTAGTTTTTGAATCATAGTCGGTAACTTACCATCGGTCGGTGAGTTACCATCTGTAGGTAAGTTACCATCTTTGCGCGTGCTTGGGAGTCTTCGCGAATGATTGAAAGTCTGACTAGTTCTGGCTGGCTCTGGCTAGCTCTGGCCAGGTTAGGATTGGTCAGGATTGGTCAGGATTGGTCAGGATTGGTCACGATTGGTCAGGATTGGTCAGAACTGCCGCGCATGAGCTAAGACTCCCAATAGCGTGCAAAGGCTGCCGCGCACGAGCGAAGTCTCCCAATCACGTGCGAATACTGCCGCGCACGCGCGAAGACTGCCGCTTACGCGCGAAGTCTCCCAAGCATGCGCGAAGACTCCCGCGCACGCGTAATGTAATGCTTTTACGTTATTAATAATCATCTATTTTAAGAAAATTAAAAATAGAATTATGTCGGAAATGTTATTAAAAAAAAACAATTTGATCTTGAATAAAATACATCTCCTATCTCTGCAAAGCTCCTGTGTTAGTACTGCAACGATCGCCGGGAAGTGCTTCGTTTGACCACGTTGCGATTGACTACAGCAAATTATATCGACCTGTTCTTAGAGTAATCAGGAACGATTGATCAATCAGAGAATCTTATTTTGAATTGAGCAATTGGAGCTGTGGTTAATCGGGTATCACTCCAATGTTTTATATTTCTTCTATAATGCGTGAATAAAAATTTATCTTCTTCCATAATATGAAACTTTATCATTACAATATATAAAATTTGAAAACTAATGAAATATTAAACATTCACGAATCGAAGTGTAGCGCAGATGATAAAACACAAAAATATTTCTTGTATGACAAAATTTGGAATGTAATACTTTTATTTATTACAAATATAAGCTATATGTAATTATATGAATATGTAATTATATGAATAGTATTATATCTTTTTTTGTAGATTTCGAATTTTGCAACTAGTATGAGGAGTGCTGTAGCTTCAGCACTTATTATAAATGTTACTCGCATAAGTATATTGCTATGGAAAAAAGGCCATAAACATGTATTAAATGGTGAATAGAATCCGCTGCAAATATGCACGAGCTTGTTTTTTAATCACGGAAAATTAGTTGAAATTATTTAAATCAGGGCAGCAATAATTATTTACATTTCTAATTTTTTTTAAATGATATGTCTTGATTGTATATATTTTTCTGCTACAACTTATTTAAAACATTTTTTTAATAAAAGATGTAATTTACATATTAGTTTATTATTAAGTTATATAACTATATTTTTCTATTATAAGTTAAACATTTATGCAATTCTATTATAAGTTAAACATTTATGCAATTTTTACTTAAATATATACACAATAACAAAAAACATATGTAAAATAAAAATGACTACTATAAACTAAAAGTTACAGTATGATTTGCATACATAAGAGATGGGACATTATTTCTTATAATTTTACAATATGCCGATATGCGAAATCGATAATTATAATTTATCTTCATATATTTAATCATAAACATCAAGTATAAAAACAATCCAAGAAATAAATTTATAAGTAATTTACGTATTTTATATTCATATTCATATTAGTTGTAAATAAACACATGAACAATATTTATAACGTAACATTATTGAAATTTAATGTCAATTAAAGTTAAGTACAGTTAACACAGTAGATTGATAGACTTCAATCAACTTGAATCACTTCTTTGGACGCTCTCACTGTTGCTTAGTTGAGACAATTATTATTAAGTGGAACACGATTTATATTAGGTAGAAAGTCGTATGATATTTTTAGGATAATATATTCAATTCGGGATTACAACAATAGCGATAAGATAATATATTATTAATATGCAGGATATTCTAATTTTTTACGGATGTTAAACTCGTTTATAAAAACAATTTTAAAAAGAACTTTCACAGCGCGATATTTTATATGGTTTAAATAGTTTAGAAAAAGAAGAATTTTTCGCGCAAAAATTCTTTTTTTTTATATATTTTTGTTGTTCGTAATTATCTTTTAAGCGATAACTTCGCTAGCCGCACATTTATCGTACATTGCATCAAGGACTTGTGTAAACTTGAGATGACGTTCTTCAGGGGCAACAGTTGCACCGCGACTGCCCCATAGAAACTTTATATGAAACTCGGTGCGAAAGGCGTCCGACAATAACTCATCACTTCTGCAACCTTCCAAGGCGATTTCCGCGTTTCTGCGAAAAAGTGGCAGACTTTCGGCTAGCTTACGAGCTGCTTCGAGATGCGACCAGACAATCGACAGACCGCAATCGGGCGCAGAATTTTCCCATGATGAAAGAATTGCTGCCGCGAGTCCGGAAGGCGCCACAGTACCTATGAACAAACAAAAATAATACTGAGGAAAAAAAATGACAGTAATACGGAATAATACTTTAGTATAACGTAATATGATTAGTTAGATTAAAATATTGAAAAAATGAACTAGGGAAGAATACTCACGATAGAAGAGAAATTAAATGTATAAGGATAAATATATTCTTTGGAATCAATTATTTTATTTGCTTTATTTTGTCAAGATCTTTTTAGTAAAAATAATTATTTTTAATAAATATACCTAAAACATCTTCGGGACTCCGTTCTCCGAGTAATGCGATTGGTAGCAAATGTGGCAATGTTGTATTAGGTGCCTGCGGATTAGTACATTCGTTCATAGCCCGTAAAGTAGGCCTTAACTTTGCTTCGAAACTAAAAGCTTCATCTGTGTGTTTTTGTCTTAACAAATGCCATGTATTAGCCAATCTCTGAATTTGTGGTAAACACAAGCCGAGCATTACACCACAGAAACCATACAGATTGCCGAGCGCGGTTTTAGTATCGATCGCTACTTTGATCCATTTGCTAATGGTAGCCGCCCTTTCTGCAATATTAACAATTATTTCTTAAAATTTAATGCAAGAGAGATTAACTGTTCATAATTTATACTTTTCATAATTTATTTTGTATCAATACTAAGTTTTTTCTCTCTCTTTCCTCTCTCGCTCTCTCTTTTACTTCTACAACCAAAAATGTTATCAAAAATAAATAGAATAATTAGCACATTTCAAGGCTTACCTATGGCCGTAGCCCCAGCTAACACAGTGACCGCCACCAACAGTTTCAAACATTCCGATCTCTCTATCAAATCTATTCTAGCTTGTCTACCATGAGGAAGAGTCGCCAGCTCGATACCGCTTAATCCAGTTCTATTTCCGGATCCTGGTTCAAGTGCCACTTCGAGATCAATTTTCGTGAGATGGGAAGCAAGTACTCTTGGTGCAGAATCTAATAACATTCCTGAGACTCCCCTCAAAGCTATCGGATCCAGAGGTCTGTGTTCGCCAGCCGGTAAGAGCAGCGTGGTAAAGCCCTCGATATCGAGCATTGTAGTAATTTCTAAAGACGGCGCGGCTACCACTAACTGCTCCTCCGCAGATAATTCATATTCGCTGCCATTATTGTCATTAATGCCGTTGTTGCTATTGTTATAATGGCTGCGTATTACTACGCCCTTAATTGGCACTGAGGAGGAAGGATTGCTAGCACCACCAGAGTTGTTGGTCTCAAACTCGCTATCTCCCGATCCGTTTCCACTGTCGCTACCAGAGGCTTGATAACTTTGATGATGATGATGGTGATGATGGTGATGATGATGATGATGATAATGTTGATGGCTTGGCACATAGGGCACTCTGGGAGGCTTAGGTGGCGCCGTACCCAGAATGTTCTGCAGATTTAGATTCGATAATTGTTGTTGTTGCTGTTGCAATGCTGGATCAGAGATTACTCGGGTAATCTTTTGCCGACCCAAGGATAAGGAACACGAGGGCGGCTGACTCTGAATCGGCGGTATTCGTGGTAAAGTACTGGATTGAATAGGTAGCTGCTGACCTATTTGTTGATTATCCTCTCGAATGACGTGATGATCAGAACCATGATGTTGAGCGGTCAGAGAGTGACTGCGTTGCTGTTTCTTAGGCAAACGAGGTGGCGAACCAGTGGATAAAGAAGATGAAGAATTAGAACAATGTTGATTGTTCGTGGTTCCTGCAATGCACGTCAATGGAACCGATCTGGGCTTTGGATTAATGATACGAGCGCCACTGGCCTGACTAATTGGTCGGCCACTGCCGACATAGAAAGTTATCAAATCGGCAACTGTATCGAAGGCCTCATCTTCAAATTGATATTGCGCCCTCTCATAAACCGTGTCGGGCTGAATTACAACCTATTAGGAAAATAAAATAATGTGATCTTAAAGTATTTTAAGCGAATTTGTTTATTCTCTTGACAAATTATCAAACGTCACTATTATATTATATACTTTATAAAACTTATGTGAAGGAACTTCAAATCATCAAAGGATGAGAAATAAATATCAATCTATTTATCTGCAGGTTTTACATTAAAATGTGACTTGTCATTGCAATTGTAATAAATTATAAGTTAAAAAAATAAAATTTTTTTTTCCATTAATTAATATTTTGGTATGTTACAACTCACATATTTAATAGATAGATTGAATAACAAAATTTATTAGAAACTCTTATTTCAATTTGTGTATTAATAAATAATTTTTTAAATCTTTATCGGCAAAAATCCGTTTTTTTAACAAAAGATTGAATATTTAATTATATAATTACTTAAAAAAGAAATAACAGGTGAAATTTTAATTTATTTTATCAATTTATACTGTCAAAAGCAAAGACTTCTATTATATCTTCCATTATATCTATCTAGACCGCTAACATTGAAAAATAGTCACTTATAATTGGATAAAATATATAGATTGAGTTAATACAATAATTTTTATTTTGATATAGTTATATTTTAATTTATCGACAGTTATTAAAATGTATTTCAATTTCAATCGGCAATTATTTTAATATATATTAAGTATTGATTGATATTCTAAATTAATATTCTGCTCATGCAGTAATTATATTCTGTCCAATTGTGGCTACTCTTCAAGGATAACATTGCTGTTAGCGATCTAGTACAATATAATATATAGAATATCTGTGGTCGAATGTAATATGACGTGTGAAACTAAATTATTTTAATATAAGAAAAGGAACTACGCAAAAATTTATACATTTTTTTATTTGTAACATTATAATATAATTAACTAGAATGAGAAAAATTTTAAAGCTTTTTCGTTTCTCTAATTTTAATTAAGGGGTTATGCCTAGTCAAATGTAACAAAAAAACAATTATTACGTTTTTACATTTCCTTGAAGTATATCACATTGAAAATATTTCCTAAAAGTTTCAAGTTAATGGGATGCAAATTGAAGGAGTTATAAGTGTATATTTCATGAAGCGCCAAAATGTATAACTTAGTGTAAACACGACTATAAAACTTCAGCTCTGATGTTTTGAGGGCTATCAAGCCAATATATGAAGATTTAAATAAATTAAAATTATATGAACCCGAAATAAATGATTGTATAAATTTTAAAAATCTACAATTTATTTAAACGGGAGCTTGACACAAATTTTAAACGCGTTTTTCTCGAAATCATTTTTTCAAAGTCGATGAGCAAGATTTCGAAAACCGTTATATTGATTTGCTTGAAATTTTACGGGCTTCTTCTACACATGAAAACCTAATACATGAACGAAGGATTTCTTTAATGAATACTTTTTTTTATTTAATAAAAAATAAGCAATTTTTAAGACGAAAAAGAATATCTTAGCGTCAAACCAGTAGTGGCTATCATTTCGTCCCTAAACAATTTTTAATTAATTAGATTAATTCTTCGTTCATCTACTTTGTAGTAGACAATTTCATATATTTTAACTACAGCTTGTCGAATTTTTGATATCAGATGAATCAGCTTCGAATGGCACTGGTCACCGCGCAACGCTTTTTAAAAAACAATATTTGGAATGATTATAACTTTTATATTTTTTAATATTTTATTTTTAAAAAAATATAATATCCTTAATATTTGTAATTTTGAATTAAAATTTATTTGTAAAAAAAATTATCACACTTTTCAAAAACATTCTCAAACATACTTTTTTCAGCCTGCTGACTAGACCATAACCCCTTAATATGATCGCAATTTATCCTATTAATTAATCACATTTTACCCTATTAATGACAAAATGAAGGGGTTGGCTTTTCCAACGCACGGTCAGAACGTAGTTGCCAGGTTGAGAGGCGCAATCACGCACTAAAAAGTCCCCATCATCCGGCACTTCCACCTCTGCACCTCTTCGACCGCCGCGCAACGTACTGCCATGATACCAAGCATGCGATCGCAAATCTCGGGGATCGAGAAGTCGTAATTCTCTTTCTAAAAGCTTGCGAGTGGTTTCCTCAGGTGGTTCCTGAAATCAAATAAAAGAAAATTTTCTTTCATTAATATTTCTAGTTTTAAGCAGTTTACTTGAGACCTTTGAATTATTTAACACTTTTTAAAAAAATTTATATCCCCAATTAAATTGCTCTTAATAATAATTAAATTAAAATTTACGTATGTACTTAGTAGTATATTCCCGAAAAATGTCTATATATAATAAATTATAAATTTATATAATTATACATCGTATATGATGTATAAATAAAAATTAACTTATTTTTCTTCAAGCATACGCATGTATATCTATATTATAAAAGATCGATCAATCGTTTATACTCCTGAATATTTTAATTTTAAATTTAATTCTCTGTGTGGACATTTTTTATAAAAATCTATTGTTTTTAAAAAATTTATTGTATTTAATATTATCAATAAATGATAAATGACAAGAATTATTGCAGCAAATAATGCTTTGTGATATAAACAAAGATATGAATTTTTCAAGAAATGTGCAATTTCATAAGACAAAAATATGGCGGAAATATAAAAATAAAAGAAAAAATTAAATATTTTTTATAAAGATTAAAGAGAGAGAGAATAAAAATATTATAATAATATAAATATTCTGCACATGCGACAGACAAATTATTTTTATATTTTTATAACTGCAAATTATTTTCATTTTCGACAAAATTAACTTTCTAATTAAGGTTTATTAAGTATCTTATTCAATTTAATTACTACTACATATTTTCTAAATGTGTTGAATTTGTTTCAACTTTTATTTTATATAAATAATAAATCATTATCTTGAATTCAATGAATTAATAATATCATGTCTACATCTTCTTATATCTTTAATTAATTAGTCGGGATGATAGAAGAAGCAGTGATATGTTACGCGAACATTCTAAGAAAGACAATTGTATTAATCAAGGCAGGAAGAAGACGGGACTTTGCAGTCAAGCGAAGATTGGCTTAACAAAAACAGCCTTCAGCTCTTCGTATGGTCGTGGATAGTTTGTTACTCGCGTCATCGATATATCGCATCCACCAGCTTAGTTGTCACACAACCTATCATTGCTTGCTTGTGCTTGTTTATTGTTTTTTTTGTATCACGCTACAAAAAATATTGTCACTTCAATAATTGAAATTTATGATTATATGTTTACACGAAAATATATAAGAGACTCTTTATCATATATATATATATATATATATATATATATATATACACACACACAAGGTGTCCCAAAAGTCCCGAACCGGTCGAATATTTCTTAAACTATGCACTTTAGAAAGAAATGTTTCAGACAAAAGTTGTATGGCTTGAAGGGGGCCATCAGATAGTGGCAATTATTTGACATGGGAAAGTCATTTGAAAGTAAGACATAGTTGTTTTAAAAAAAATATGTAATTGTTAATTGCAAATTACATATTTTTTTTCTTAAAAACAACTGTTTTTTCTTTACATCAATTGATTCCTCTCATTATTTTGTACATAAAATTATTAAGGTAAGATAATCGAAAAATGAATATTTCACAAGATATTTTACGGTTTATGTAAAATATCTTGTGAAATTAAGAAACGATTTCAAGCCTCATAACTTGAAAAGTACTCAATGAAGAAATACTTTATTATAGTGTTTTGGAAAGCTCTCGAGATAAGCTATACGAATATGTAATAAAAAATAGGGAGTTCCATTTAAGAAATTGACGTTGATCTTCACATGACTTTCGAATGACTCTCTCATGTCAAATCATTGCCACTATCTGATGGCCTCCTTCAAGCCATACAACTTTTTTCTGAAACATTTCTTTCTAAAGTGCATAGTTTATGAAATATTCGACCGGTCCGGGATTTTTGGGACACCCTATATATATATACACAGGATATCCCAAAGATATATATATATATATATATATATATATATATATATTATTTTTTTATATATATATATATTTTTTTTTTAATTTTTTAATATTAATATTTTTAAAATTCATAATTTAAAAATAATTTTGATACATGAGAATTGAAAAAACTAAAATTGTAACGAGTAATTAATATTGATAATTGCGTTAAAAATTATTCCAAAAATTCTTAGAACATTTATACATAAAATTATACATTTATTTATAATTAAACATTTATAAAAAATATGTCAGCCTATGCTAAAATGCGTATAATTAATTAAATTAATTAAGTAACATATAACTAAGTTTTATATAAGTATTCAAGATTATTATATAAAAATTACAATCTTGCCAAATAAATTAATCTAATTAATCTAATCCTTTTTTAAATTTAATTTTTAGACTCTCAATAAATAATATCATTTTGGTCAAATAACCATAAAAATTTATAATAAAAAAATTTTGTATAATCAAAGACTCACCATCTGCAGAGACAAATTATTGTTACTCTCGGATACTTTTGTTGATGGCAATTCACTTTGAGAACATATGTGGCGGTTCTGTTTCGCGTCGCTGTCTTCCTCTGGTGTCCTGCGATCAGAATGAAACTTTTAACCCATCACACATTTCTCAAAAATTGTTTTCGATCTTTGACAAGATTCTTTCTTGTAAATTGCGATGTCTTTCAAAAAGAGAACTCTGTGCTGCTCTTCGAACTGGCAGATAGAATTTGTCTGTACTCTCGATTCTTAGAGCACGCGCACGCACCCCACTGACCAGCGCAAGCTTACACAAATCGAGCCGCAGGTCCGTATTTTCGCAAGGTATCACAAGGGTACCTCTGTATGGTATTAATAGATTATGAAAAACTCGCGAAGAAAAATGAGGCAAAGCAAAGGAAATTAATTACATGTCAAAAAAACATTTTCTTCCTTGTTCACCTGCCTTGCTTCTTTGCTTATCTGTCATTTATAACATGTACTTGAAAATTCGATACAACTTGTCTTGCGTGACACATCACAAAAGCATGGAGCAACTGTCATGGATAATGAAATATGTATAGAATATAACGATTGTACATCAAAATGGGAATAATTCATACAACTGTTTACAGTTGCTATCGTTTATAATTCGTATTTACAAATAAATAGTTTGTTCTCCACTTAATGTATTAAGTTAACATATTAATATAATTTTACATTATATTTACATTATATTTAACATAATTTTACATTATATTTAATTCATGTATAAAAATAAATATAAAATAAATTAATGCATCGTTCATTACGCACGCAACAATAATTATTACCATTTCTATGTATCTTTGAACCCTTGATTATACGTCACTGCAATGTTATCGCCTTCGTTGTTTTCACCCACTCTGGTTCTACTTACTCCTTTTCCCCATCAAAACGAGTTGATTTTGATAGATAACGGATATCGAAATACGTACACATCGAGATTAGATGCTTCTCATGCTGTATATTGCATCGGAAGGTGCAAGGCAAAATTAAGTAAAAAGTATAATTTTCTTTTAATGCTTTTGAATGGGTTATTCCATCAATATGAGGGTTATTGATCTTCTCGGATAAGGAGCTCCGTAAAGGGAGAGGAGAGGATGCGACCAAAGTGCGCTTGCGTCATTCGAAAACGTTCGATAAACAGCATCGAGGTACATCTATAGTCAATGTTACACTTGCTAACATTAAAAAAATAATTTCAAAGAATAATTTTTTATTTATTTCAAATTTTCATTAATATCCTAATTAAAGCTTATTTCTCTCTCTCTCTCTCTCTCTCTCTCTCTCTCTCTCTCTCTCTCTCTCTCTCCCCCCCCCCTCCTTCCTGCAATAGCATGAATAGAAAAAGAGAGGGAAAAAGAAAGACAGAGAAACTATAATGTAAATCTGCATATATTATATTTCATTTTAGCAATATATATATATATATATATATATATATATATATATAATATATATAGAGAGAGATATGTGTATAAATAAAATAAAAGAGTAAATTACGACATACAATATATACCAGCTTTAAATAAAGATAAATCAGATCAGAGTAAATAAAATTGTAAGAGAACAATAATTAATAAAATATTTAACTAATTCATCTTTTATCTAAATACACTCAAACCGAATTATCTTTATCTTGATCTGAGACATCTTGACATGAGTATATGATTTATCTAATCTGTATCTATATTATTTTAAATTGTCTAAGCGCAACACTGGCTATAATTATATACAGACATATGATATGTATTCTATGCTACAAAAATTTTGAAATTTGTTGCAAAATTGTTCAGTTTTCAAATCAATATAATATTATCTTTTACTTGATATTTTTGCTCTTGCAGATATTTGAAAAGACTGTCGATATTTTTATAACTTATAGATACCTTGAATTATTGCTAGAGAGAGTGTTAGATGATGGCAACGTCACAATCAAACTTGGTTCTTTTTGAATGATCACTTCCGGTTGTAGATGTATCGTATGTCTCTTTTGCCGAAGATCTTTACATGAGTCCAATGAAGCAAGATCGTTTCGTTTGCGTCGTCGGCTGGTGTTTTGCAGTGTATTCATAGATGGAAATCGAAAACTCCATGCTATGCCTGAATATGTTACAGAAAAATTTATATGAAGCTTGTCACATTTTTTTTGACCGAATTGTGATAGATTAATGTATGCATGCAATGTAAATGTAAGCAAATCAATAAAACTTAAAATTATAAAAAGTCTATTACCAAATGATAATAGACTTTTTAATTTGATATTAAAATAGCATTGATAATTATGTGCTAAATTGGTGCTAAATAATATAACCTTAAATAAAAACTTATAACCTTAAATAAAAACTTATTAAAAATTATTAAAAATTTTGCGCAAATTCAGAACGAGGTGCATATTTTATTGCATAATATATCTTCTTATTGAATATTTTTCGCTTATTTAATAATATTATTATACTACTTTTAAGATTCTCATTTTAAGATTTCTAGTGTTCTGATTTTATCATTATGCGATTTTACATTATATAATTATATAAATTACGTGACAGATATGTTCATGCATATTATAAATATTTTATTTAATACAATGTATATAACAAATAAGTGAATTTGATCTCTCACATTTGTGTCATTTTTTAAATTTTATTAATTCTATTCTCACAGTGCGTATTACATTTACATTGTACAATTTTGCACGACAATAAGCAATAATAAACGTGACTATTATAACTTTATTGAATTTGTTTTTGAAAGGAAGAGAGAGAGAGAGAGAGAGAAAGTGAGACGGGGAGGGGGAGAGAGAGAGAAGAGAGAAGGAAGAGAGATCACATATAATATTTAGAACATTAAATTTTTAAATAAATATTAAATAAATAGTATAATCAATTGGCTTACTCTATTTGCAATAGATTAAATACGATGATTTTCACACCTTCGTGATTATATTTATACATGCCTATATAAAGCGCATACTTGGATCGAATTTAGTTTCATTGTATCATGGACATGGAACCATGGAACCCCCTAACCTTTCAATAACATGTTCACGTTTAAAAAGGCGAAGTAATGAAATACAGGTGCGTAGAATTCTTTCCTCTCTTTTTACTCATTTTATCCATTTTATTCGCTACCTCTTTTTCTCACATTATTTTTTTTACATTTATTGCGTATTACATGTATCTGTATATTGCTTTTTTATGAATCGCTTCATCTATCCATGAATGAACATAATCTAGCGACATTGATAGCATTGTTTTTACGAAATATATATATATATATATATATATATATATATATAATATATACACATATATACATATGTCATAAAAAGATATATACATGATATATATATGTATATATATATATATATATATATCATATCATATATATCATATATATATATATATATATATATATATATATATATATCATGGTATATACATATATTATAAAAAAATTAGGTCAAAAATTATTTAATTGTAAAATCACAATTATTTTAACTTTGTAAGATGAGATTAAAGAGATTAGAGTTTACTATTTTTGAGTTTTGTGAAAGCAAAATTGCATTAAAATCGTATCCTTATTTTTTAATTGATGTAGCTTCCTTTTAAAGTAGCTTATAAAGTAGCTTATTAATGTAGCTTCCTTTCAAAAATGATAAACTCTAATCTCTAATCTCTTTAATCTCATCTTACAAAGTTAAAATAATTGTGATTTTAAAATTAAATAATTTTTTACCTAATTTTTTTATGATATGCTAGGATATTTGACTTAAAATGTTTATTGCATTTAACACCGCAATATAAATTTAAAAAATAAATATAAAATATATTTTTTGAAGCTATATTCTTCAGTAATTTTTTTATAATAATTTTTATAATAATTTTTATAAAACCGTAAATTTCATATTGATTTTAACGCTGATTCATATCATATCAATTGTACGTATATATCAATTCAACATATTTGATACACAAGTGACATACTTGATTATTTGGATTATACATGCATCGTTGCGTATGGAATTTACGTAACGTTTTACGTTACAATTTATGTTTTACGAATGCCGTTCTCTCGGTCTCTCTCGACTATTGTACGGTTGCACAAATAGAAGAGATGAGGATAGAGAGGTGGGGATGGAGATTAAGCAGAGTGCACACACGTGTCTTCACAACCCGATCCGCACGCATACATCATCGCCGATAAATGCGACGTGCACGACATTGTGCCTTTCCCTCGTCAATGATATACCGTCAGAAACTCGACACTACATGCAAACTTGACGCAGTAACCAATTGCAATTTTATATTTACTATTAATTTATCAATATTTTTTACGTGAAATGCTTGCATAATATTGATAAAAGTGCAAACAGATGCCTTTCTTATCTATTTTATTACAAATACGCACCTCGTTCAATCAAAACTTTCTACACAGGATGTCACAGGCGTATCGCCTATCGGTATTTTCTATCAAGAGAAAAGACCGCAGTGAATTCGAGACAACCATATATGTGAATAATAAAAATGAAAAAAACGTGGCATTATATTGAACATGTAGGAAAATGCGCACTGACTCTGACTTCTCCGCGATTTCAGTTTGCTGGCGGTTTTGCCCATTTTCCCGCCAACCGTTGCATGCCAGCAGTTTCCTAATTACGTCGCAAGAATTTCCACAAACAAATTGAATCGAAAATTCACTGAAGCAAACGAAATGGCCACAGCTTGAACGCACTGACACGGCACGGCTGTAACACCGTGCGACGCGGTCTATCCACAGCATAATGCGATACCGAACTGACTGATGTGAGCGTAACACACTAGAAGAAGGAACCAGACAGACCGACAGACAGACAGACCGACCAACCGACCGACCGACCGACCGTCCGACCAATCGACCGACCGACTGACCGACCGGTACACAAATGGCGCTCACAGCGTGAGAAAAGTTGCATGGTGCGGGAAATCTAACAGAATGAGAGGGAAAAAGAAAAAGAGAAATGGAAAGTCTAAATGAATTATGAAAGAATGAGAGAGAGAGAGAGATATGATATATATATAGGGCGTCTGAGACCACCAGTACACTCCTTTTCTTTCAAAAACTAAGCATTTTTTAGAAAAACGATTTAGACAAGAATTGTATGGTTTTGAGGGGAACATAAGATGATGTCATTGGTTACACACTCAATAGTCGTTTGAAGGTCACGTAAAGGTCAGTTTCAATTTCTTAAATGGGAATCTCTACTTTTCATTGTTTGTTGTGTAACTGCTTATTGCATATTATTGCATATTAAAAAATATTTCTGTGTATATATATATATATATATATATATATATATATATTTATTTATTTACAAATGTGCAAAAAATATTTCTGTGTACATATATATATACAGGGTGGGCCATTTTAAGTGATCCACTCAAATATTTCGGAAAATAATGAAAAATCAAAAAAATGTTTCAGATAAAAGTTGTATGGCTTGAAGGGGGCCATCAGATAGTGGCAATGATTTGACCTTGGAGAGTCATTTGAAGATGACGTAAAGGTAACCTTCAATTTCTTAAATGGAACTCCCTATTTTTTATTACATATTCGTGTAGCTTATCTCGAGAGCTTTCCAAAACACTATAATAAAGTATTTCTTCATTGAGTACTTTTCGAGTTATGAGGCTTGAAATCATTTCTTAATTTTGTATAGACCGTAAAATATCTAGTAAAATATTCATTTTTCGATTATCTTGCTTTAATACTTTTATGTACAAAATAATGAGAGGAATCAATTGGTGTAAAGAAAACACATAGTTATTTTTAAGAAAAAATATGTAATTTGCAATTAACAATTACATATTTTTTCTTTGAAACAACTATGTGTTTTTTTTACACCAATTGATTTCTCTCATTATTTTGTACATAAAAGTATTAAAGCAAGATAATCGAAAAATGAATATTTCACAAGATATTTTACGGTTTATGTAAAATATCTTGTGAAATTAAGAAACGATTTCAAGCCTCATAACTTGAAAAGTACTCAATGAAGAAATACTTTATTATAGTGTTTTGGAAAGCTCTCGAGATAAGCTACACGAATATGTAATAAAAAATAGGGAGTTCCATTTAAGAAATTGAAGGTTACCTTTACGTCATCTTCAAATGACTCTCCAAGGTCAAATCATTGTCACTATCTGATGGCCCCCTTCAAGCCATACAACTTTTATCTGAAACATTTTTTTGATTTTTCATTATTTTCCGAAATATTTGAGTGGATCACTTAAAATGGCCCACCCTGTATATATATATGTACACAGAAATGTTTTTTGCACATTTGTAAATAAATAAATTATACGTGTGTGTATATATATATGTATATATAAATTTATACGTATGCATGTATATATATATATATATATATATATATATATATATATATTGTATATACACGTATAAATTTTGTCATATGTTATTCACTTTCTTTGTCATCATATATATATATATATATATATATATATATATATACACAGAAATATTTTTTGCACATTTGTAAATAAATATTTAAAATAGAACACTAGGGTCGAATCGTCTTGATCTTGATATATATATATATATATATATATATATATATATATGTTGTCAAGGTCTTGAATGATCTTCAAAAGGTTTTAATAATCGCTCATTGTTTATTAAAAAATTATAAACAAGAAAAGTTTTATAAATTATACATAATTTTCAAACATCACGTACAATAATAGACCTATTGCACAGAGAAAGCGCACTAAAAGCACAGAACAGTGTGAGATGGACCTCCCCGCTTCACGTGAAAAATTGCAAATCTATATGGTATCGTATAATATAATAAAATCGTATGATAATAAAATGAGTCTTTAATGTTCTACACGAAGTGAGATTTATTCCACACCATTTCTGTTATCAGTGCTAAATCAGGTGTATTATTATACGGTTCCACATGGATTTACAATTTTCTACGCGAAGCAAGATCCATTCCACACCAATCCTGCAGTTAGTGTGAAACAAAATCTATTGCATATAAACAACTGAATCTTATAAAAATATGTTATATATTCCATTAAATGTACACGTTGTCTAAAAATTAAATATTATATATAATCGTGAGTCTTTCTGCTTATAACATTCTAATAAACAACAAGTGACAAGAATAAAACCATTTGAAGATAATTCAGAGTCATGCTTAAAGAAACATTTTTAATATTTTAAAATTATTTTAAAACGCAATAGAGGCTTTCTTGAGAAAAAAGCTTTCGCATGTGTACTTACATGATTGAATTACATTAGATATTTATGTTGATTTTATATTTGAGACTTAAAAAATTGTAATTAAGATATAAATGTATTTGGGGAATTGTGTGTGGACTATATGAAATATCTTACGATAATATAATCAAACTGCAACTATACAATATAAATATCTCTCTTTTGCTGTGAAATACAGAAAAATTATTTTTATAAAAACGATATAGGCAGGTACACATACTGTATTATATTTTGTATTATAATTTTTCGATTACTATCTTTCTTATTACTTTGCCCATCATGAATTTACATTACTATAACATTGTGGCATTTATGGGCTTGATCTAGAATACTTTCATGTGTTTCATGAGTTTCGATTTTCTCTAAAATACTTCACAGAAATAATTACTATTTATAGAATTGCTAGTTATTTAATTATTCTCTCTTGATAATAAATTTTTGCGCTCTTTAATACTTACATTTCTTTAAAAAGAATCTGACTAATTCATATTATATAACATATATTATAACAAAGCATATATAAAAAGTGTATAGGGTGTTTCTGGACATTTGCGACAAACTTAAAGGGGTGATAGATCTCGATAAATGGAACAATTTTTGTTAAGCAATCCGTGTCCGGCGATGCCTCCTTAAGACGCCAAGCTATAATGAATGCTGTTTGATTTCTACATGGTTAGATTAAAATTTTAAAAATCATACGTTTTTTAAATTATATTTTGTTTATTTTATTACAATAAATGTTCAAAATGGCGACCTGCAACCTTAATACAAACATTGCATCTACGGCGCATTGACTGACGCAACCTCTGAAAAATTCCAGGATTATTGTGAATTGTTTCGCATGCGTTCATAATCTTGTAAATGAGCTCATTTCAAATATTAACAGGGGTTATATACACTAAACTTTCGTAAACTGCGTAAATGTTCATCGTACTCTGGCGTCTTAAGGAGACATCGCCGGACATGGGTTGCTTAACAAAAATTGTTCCATTTATCGAAATCTATCACCCCTTTAAGTTTGTCGCAAATGTCCGGAAACACCCTGTATATTATAACAAAGCAATATAATTATTTTCTTTCGATTCTAGCGTAAACAATGTAAGAAACACTCTGCGTCAATATCTATTGATGTTAAATTTTCATTTTTAAATATTCACATAGCATAGTATAGCCAAATGTATTAATAACGTATCTCTACATTTAACATAAAAAATTTCTGTATCATATATCTTAAAAAGAAGAATATCTCTTTTTGTAATTATGTAATTTTAACTGCTTACAAAAAACAAAAAGATCGACAATCCACGTATAATAAAATATCTTTGTAAATATTTTATATTGAAATGCTTTCCTATATACACATTGAAATTTTGATGTGTAAGAAAATAATGCGTAATATACCAAAATTTTCTTTAATAAAAATATATACACACATTCCCACACTCGCATCCAAATATTCTCTCTCTCTCCCTCCCTCCCTCTCTCTCTCTCTCTCTCTCTCTCTCTCTCCCCCCCCCCTCTGTCACACACACATACAAAGTTTAAAAAATAAACGAAGAATGTTCAAATCTGGACAAATAACTCTATATTGGAAATTATAGCATTGAGAAATAGGCCAACTATGATAAAATGTATGTTTCGACTTTTGGGTATAGCGAATATACTTAATACCGTATAAAATAATTTATAGAGCCATTAATGTTTTTGTTATAAATGTGAAGCATAACTTAACAAAAACACAAATTCTCGAAAATACATGTACATTTTAAGCATATAATCCAGCTTAAAGCAATTTCAATACAAGATAATCTTTATAATTAAAATTTTGATATCATATATATATATATATATATATATATATATATATATATATATATGTACGCACGCATACACGTACGCGCGTGCGTATACATAGATGTGTATATATATATGTGTGTGTGTGTGTGTGTGTGTGTGTGTGTGTGTGTGTGTGTGTGTGTTCGTGTGTGTGTTCGTGTGTTCGTTTCTATCTAATACGTGCTAATACATTGGCCAATGATAAAGCTGGCGTATTACACGCATATGCGGACTATGAGTACGTAGGCTATTTTAAATTACATTTTTCGTATTCTTATACACATTCCTATATATATATATATATATATATATATATATATATATATATATATAAAGACTAACTATAGAGAGAGAGCACATTGATTATTAGCATGCTCTATTACTCAATTGTATTCCGCTCTATAGTACTTGGATATTTTTCCCTTGAATTTGAAAATACTATGAAATGGATACAGCGCAACTTGAATGAGCTCGATAAATTAATTATATCAATTTTATTTATATACAAATATATGTTCTGTGATAGACATATAATAAATGTATATTGCAAAATCAGAGATATATCGTCATCAAACTTTAAAATGAAATGCAATATTGATGCGATTAAATCAAGATGTCCATTTTTTCATGTTCATTATAGTTCTATTTTAAAGCTCCAATTGAAATGAGCGGAATACAATTGAGTAATAAAGCACGCTCTAATAATCAACGTGCTTTCTCTTCACAGTTAGTTTTTACTAGTCGCAATAATAATAAAGAAATCGCGATAAGAATGTCAAATATGTTAAAAATAATTATATAAATATTACATTTTTGCAAATGGTCAATGTAATATTCCGCAATGTGTGTACAGTAATACAATAATACAATAATAGACACTTACATATAGATTATATCGCGTTTTATGCTGAATATATAAATGTAAAAAGGAACATTTGAATGAGATAAGTAATTTAAACAATTTAAATCTTGCAGCAACAATAGAAAATGTTCAATTTCCTTTCTGTAATTCTTTAAAAATGCAAGAATGTCGCGCGCGCTGTTTTCCTATGTTAAAATATATCAAGTTTTGTCTTCGCATGGCATTAGATATTTTATACATAATAAAATATATAAATGTATTATACGTGTTTATGACACCAGGTTCTTGTCGAAGCTCCCTCATTGTATTTTAGGCATCAATTGTCATTTGTTTTGTGCGTGTTATAATCAGGTAGATGTCTGGCCCGTTGAGAAAAAAAGTGGAACCGGAAGAAACGGTGGTTTACAGAAGAGCACAGGCAGTACCGTGCATCACCTCGGAGATAAACATTGGCGTACCAGCGCTGAGGCCGCCATCACCCTTTTCTTGCTCATCCTTTTCATAGTCGCAGTCAAAGTAATGGCTCTGAGATAAAATATATCTTATGATGAAAAATCATCAATCACGAATAATCGCGCCAATAAAATGAGATAAATAGAGAATAAAGTTTCAAAGTTGCAAGTTAAGTCTATCAAAATTTTAGCTCAATTTTTCAAACAATTATTTCTCAAAAAAAAATTTTTTCAATGTTTACGTTCTTTAATCTATTTGAAATGTAAAACAGAATCTTGCAAACGTGTACCTGACAATCTAGACATCTACAATGATCACTCATTTTGCAAGTTATTCCCCACTGTTTGGCCATTGCTTTGTAAAATTCTTTGCTCGATTTGTGAAGTATTTTCGGTGTTTTTATTACTTTCTTGTCCCCACCTCCAGGTCCACCATTGCCATCATCATCCCCATCACCCACAACAATCTCCATACTTTTTTCTTTATCGGAAATTCGTTTCTTCTTGTCTTCTTCCTTTGTCTCTCGTAATGCAATGGCTGATGATTCCTTTCGTGTCTAAATTATAATATATTTGAAAAGAATTGAGATGTATATCCCAAAAGCTTCTTTAATATGATAGAATAAAAATAAAAAGTATCAATAGTAACAAAATCAATCAATATCAATGACAAAGTAAGAGAAAAAAAATATCAATAAAAATATTTTTGAGTTGCCGACAATAAAATTTCCATTAATAAGAAATTATTGAGCGATATGAAATTACTGTGCATCTATAATACTTTAATTATTGCGCAATTTGTAGCAGTAATATAGCAATCGCAGCTGAAAATAGTAATATTATAAAAAATGCCACGAGACCGCGTTTGTCATTATGCAATGTATAAATGGCGCAAATTATCAATCGCACGCATTTCTACAGTTTATATGTACATCGAACGAATTAATTTCTGTCTATCCTATTTTCCAACAATTAACTGTTATGAATCAATAATCTGAGGACTTGAAACGCATATTTTCTTTTCGATGTTCGTTTCTTATACAAAATAAATCGTATTTCTACTCGCAATTTATGAAATTAAAATTGACCTATATAAACGACATTCACTTGATAGTAAAAAATACTAACTAAATATTATTTTCATATGTTTAATAATCTAATCTGAACTAACAGTAAGACTTAATCAATAAAATTTTTATTTTGAATATAATGCATTTACCTCTTCAAGAACATGTTCATACGAGGGCGGAGGTGAGTTGGGTATCATTTGTTCTTTTCTAATTGATAAACAATTCTTGTCCTTTTCTGCTTCAAATGTATCTGTAAATTCGTTTGCATCCAATGATTGATTAATTTGTCGTTGTTGCTCTTCAAATTCTACACTATTGCTACGACTATCGCCGGAACTCCGCGATTTCAGCATCTTTGAGAAACGAATCTTGAATGGCGCCAGTTTGATGAATTTCTTCGTCCTCGTGGTCTGCAGAAAGAGTAAAAATAATATTTTTATTTGGAAAACAATCACGCAAAGAGAATTTTTATTTTGTTCAAAAATTACTTTGCAAAATATATATATATGAAATTTTTTTTATTATATGTATATGCATGTACGTATGTATATGTGTAACAAAACAAAGTTTTAAAAACGAAAAAATGGGCTCAATATGTAAATACAAAATTACATATGAAAGAATAAATAACTAAAAACGATGAAATCCAAAGAAAAACAAAATAAAAATGCAATACAAATATAAAAATTTATTTTCTTTATATTGATAAATGTCTTCTAATGATCAAAGTATTTATTTTTAGCGCATCTTCGCATTACGTATTCTGTAACTCTTATTAATGAGATTTGTTTTTAATGAGATTTATTTCTATTTTGTAATCTTTTTATATTACTTGTAGGAATTAAAACTTATTTCAAACCGATAGTTTAGTTTAGAATGTAAGACATTGTTTTGCAATTGTTAAAAACAACATTCAAATTGTTATTCGTATTTCGTGTTTTTTGAAAAAAATGTCTAGAATAATTTATTATAAATGTAATTACCAATTTTTTAAGTATATTATGGGAACAAAATAGCATACTCCTTCTTGTCTAATGCAAAATTTTTTTTACCGAAATAATCGATCTTACAATGTCGATGTGTTTTACTTTGTCGTCACAGTAATTAATAGCTAATATAATTAAGCAGGAAAAAAACATGAGATGCAGTAGTATAGAGAAATTTTTAAATTATATCAAACTAATTTGACACTAAAGAAACTTGTTATACAAATCAATATTTTAAATAATTTAAAATAGATAATTAATGAAATGATACGGTAAGATTGTGAGAATATCTATACCGATAAGATATATAATTGCGCTGAATGTATCTGCTGTTGACCTACTGACCGACTTTGCAGATAGCGGTCGACGTACCACCACTCGATCTGGCTGATTTGCAACCGACTTTACAGACACAAAGCTTATCCCGCACTTAAGCCCCTGCCGGAAAAAAAAGTTCGATAAAATTGAGGGCAAGCCCAAAAAATTTGATTCCAACACATTATATCCTCAATATTATTTTTATGTATTTCGACGTAATATGTGTGTGTGTGTGTGAGTATGTGTGTGTGTGTGTTATGCGCGAAAATAATATTTACTTTTACTAATAATTATTTCTACTTTCAATAAAATGTAGGAGGAATAAAATATATTTGCTGACTATTATTAATAACATATTATCATTGATATTTTCACGCATACAATTACGTGCACTTATGTATACATACATATATATACACATAAAAATATTACAAATATGTTATTTTATTAAATTAGTAAACATATATATATATATATATATATATATATATATATGTTTACTCTATTTAATTATATTTAATCTGTAAATGCCGAAGATCAAGTTATTAATTAAATTTTATTATTGAGAAGGTTTTACTTTAGATATTGAGAGCTCTCGCAGAGCAAACAAAACATATTAAAATTTTAATTTTTCTCGTTATGTGAGGATAAAACTAAGAGATGTATCGATAAGTAAATAATAAAGTCATAGTAATCTCAATCGTTTTTTATATTTTTTCCTATAGTTTAGAAGTTAGTTTTATTTTATGATTAAATATTCTGAAGCTTTTTATCGATATAATGGTGAAAAATAATGAGAATAATAAATATTCGCAAATAGAACTGATTTAATAATATATGTATTCGCAAAATGCAGAGCAAAATGCTTAATAAGGTTTGATCATAATAAAAAAAAGCTAGAAGAGAATGCGAACAATATAATAAATATTTTAATATTTATGTGGTTTAATATCATTTAATGATTTTTAAATTTTTATTTAAAAAACCAATGAAAAATATCATTACTATTTAATTTTATTAAGCGCATATTGTATTGTATTTACTAACATAAATTCTTTTTCTTTTGCTGAGAAGATGATATATATTTATTTGAATGAGGATATGTGTGTTTCTTATCGCATATTTTTCACGATTTCTTTCGATTGGAGTATATTTTATATTATTTATATAATATATATGGATATGTATATGAGATGGCAAAATATAATGAAAATCAAATATTTTAAATTTTGAATATATTGTTATCTTTTATTTTTAATTTTTTGAATGTGTTATTTTTGTCACAAAATTATCGCTATTCATTATCCGATGTGGTTAATAACTGAATAATATCCAGATGTTACCCTTCTCGATGCGACATCTTGTGGAATATCATCGGCAAAATGGATATGGGTGATATATATCCACCGAAAGTCATAACATATATGAAAGATGAAAGCATTACGGTTATGCAAATACAAGGGTGCAAATGCAAAATGATAACACAATTGATGAGAAAGAGCAGTTATATCGCATATAAAAATATAAGCACGTCGTGTCGAAATATTCCACCCGCCACCATCGTTTTATTGATCGCCAATGTAGATACGCGTTCCGAAATATTGACGCATATACACTATACATACAAGTATATGAAGACAAATACATACACACCATGTACGCACACGCAGGCAACCGTACCTTGTCAGATAACACTCGTTTCATTCGAATATTTTTCAGTAGCGTTTTTTTTTTCATAAACTTTTATATCCGCGAATGTTGCGAATGTTGAACGAGATTCGTCGTTGTTTGTTATACTCACGTGACTTTTTATTCGCGCGAATGGCTGAGATCCTTGAACAACACACAGCTCACGGGCGTCCGAATGTGTCGAGACTTGCACAAGGTATTAAGCTACGACAGCCATGTTGTCGAGGGTGTAGCGCCCCTAACCGACATGCTTCGAAGTACAATTCTCTCTTTCCACCTTGATCTCGCCACCCCTTCCGTCTGCTCTACTATTTGCTGTTAGTCTGAATGAAATTTTCAATGCAAGAAATCATTAATAGATCGAAAAACTTATCAAAAACATATCTAATAAAGTTAAACGACAATTTCTAAGATGATAGTTTCTCAACGAAAAATATTAAGAAAAATGCCACATTCATTCATTACATGTTTCTGATTCTTTTATATTATGAAAGAAAGGCTTTGTAATATCAGATTTTAAATTAAAATTTTATTAGAATAAAATCTACTTGTGTTAGATGGGAAATATAATTCTATCATTTTTCTCTTACTTTCTTTATATTAAAACTTAGTTTATTAGAAAAAGACTATTATTTTTAAAATTAACAAAATTAACCGATATTAACGAATAATATACTCATGTGCATTTCATGAATGCAATTGCTTTCTTACATCTATTTCTTAACTGAATTGTTATAAGTTGTTAACGCGAATAAAGATTCTTTTTATAAAATTCTCTTTATAAAATTACGCTTAATAAGAGCAAAGAAAATAAAACTTCAAATCTTCTCTCGTTCGTATAGTATACATGTAATAGAAAGATGCGTGTCGTGAGATGCAAAATTGTTTCCTTCGCTTTTGTGCAAATATGATGAAAGTTGTATTGATTGTAGAAGATGGATAAGAAAATCTTTAGCCATGATTTATATTGCCTCCGCTGTCGTCGATTATTTATTTTCATCATTTTTTATCGGCCATCCTAATTTGATACATCATTGATATCTTTCCCAAGATTTAGCCTCTCGTTGTGTAATCAAACTAGAAATTTCTCAAATGAACTCATTTATGACTCAATAATGTCGTTTTAAGATCCTATATTTTTTCGCTCAAGATTGCAAAGGATCGTTGAAGATCTGGAATATTTTAATTAAAAATTGTTTACAACATCATGTATTATATCATGTTGATGGCATTGATGGCATCAATTAAAATATGAGATTGTTTCGCTGATGAGCAATAACTGTACAAATAAAAAATTAACTGCGTTACTTGTCTGATACTTACAACGTTTAAATATCCTAGAATCAATTATTTTAAAACTATCTAATGTCAATTCTAAGCTATTGCTTCGCTTGGCATAATGATATATATGCCAATTTCGAGAAAAGTAATAGATTAAGATATAGAATCTCTCGTGATTAAAAACACACTAGCTAAAAATCTTTTTAATCCCGTAAACAATTCTATAATAGGTTTCTTGAAAAATATAGTTTTCTCATTTAATTTCTCTTTTAATGTACAGCCCATAAAAAATCTAATATTTTTAATTATTTTCAATTTAATTATTAAAAAAAATTATAAATGCTTTACTTCAACATTTTCACTAAATAACAATTAATTTCATAAAACTAAATCCATATTCAATGAATTTGTTGTGAATAAGATATATTGCTTTTACAATACTATATTCATATTTGAAATAATCGAGATCGTATGAATACACTTTCGATAATGCCAGATTAAATTATTTGTGACATTCGGAATTTATCTTATTATTAAAATAAAAAAATAAAATAAAAAATAAATAAATAAATATATATATATATATATATATATATATATATATTAAAAACCGAAATAAAAAAATAATAATACAATGTATAATACGACGTTTATTTATTCATATTGTCAACATGGAGTATTAATATTTCATAGCAATTTCTCCGAAAGAGATTGTCGCTTTTGTGATTGTCTCATTACTTATTCATTCTCGTTATATAATACCAAGAGCAAACTGGTTAGATTGAATGTTTTTAAACTATTGATTTGAAAAATTGAAATACGAAATTCTTTCGCGCTCGCAAACGAATTACGAAGAGCGCAGCGCGCGTCACTGCCAGCAAATCGATGCCAAAGAGACGACGCGATCCATGTTTCGCCACTACTGCCGACGCCACCGTTGCTACCATCCGCTGCTGCCACCCCCGCCGTCTTCTCTCTTCGGTAATTTAAGCTCTGACTCGGTTCAGCTGAGTTCAGTTGCGCCACTTGGTCGTGTGGTTTGCGTGCCGTCATAAGCTTGCAAGAGTTTCGTGTGTGCACGATTTCGAAAAATTATTTCTTCTTTTTTTCCTCAAGTTTCGGCTTGATTATCTTGTTTTTCTCTTTTTGTTTTTTCCTTTATTCTGTCCCCTCCCTCTCTCTCTCTCTCTCTCTCTCTCTCTCTCTCTCTCTCTCTCTCTCTCTCTCTCTCTATTTGTCTGCCTTTTTATTGCTTGATTCGCTATTCTCGTTCGAGAAATATGTGAGGTGCACATATTCGATAAGGAAAAGCCGTGCAACAAACTTTCGATGTTTCGCACGAAAGTCTACATTCACTACGAGGTAAATATAATAATTTTGTATCACGAAGATGTATCATGATACATGACACAGATAAATATTAAACATGCAAATTTCTAGATCATTGAAAATTTAAGAAATAGTTAAATTTTCTATATAATAATATTTCAAATATAATATATAATAATTAGTTCATCCTAATAATATTTAAAAACTGATCAAGAAATCACTTTATTCACGAACGTAATCATTGAACTCGCGGCATTCTTCAAAATAATGGCAATGCACATTCCGTATATATTCAATATCTTTATTAGAATTCGATAGGCAAAATTTTCGAAATTTAATGAAAACATAAATGTTTTTAAGAACGTAATTTAAGTGAATATTAAAAACAATTTCATTATTACATTTTTTTCAGTGCACCTTACGTTAAAGATTTATTGTTAAGTTTATCATTAAGAAAATTTTAAATAGGTTTTAAAAAAAAAGTACTTTTTTTTCGAACATGACAAAAAAAGCAAAATAACATCTTTCAAAAACATTTTTTTTTTTTTTTTTCAGAAATTTACAACTATTCTGAAATATTAAAATAAATTTCTTATAAACTGAAGTTGAAATCTTTAATATTACCTTTTATATCGTTATAATCTTTAATATTAAATATTCACAAATAAGGGAAAAGATTTAATTAAAAGCCGCGCGCAATAATTAGAGTATAATTTTTTCTCTTTCAAATAATTTGCTGAAATGATTTACTATTAATTGTTCATATTGGTTCATTTTGATCTCTTAATTGGACCATCATCAGCAACTGTCAAAAATAATACATAAAACAATAAATCGTGGACTATAAAATTGAAAATTTACAATATAAAAATACATACACACACAATATTAAAATAAAGAATGTAAACGCCCTTATATGACCTCAATAACCTCTACGTCGGACAAGCGCAATATGCCTCTCTTCGATTTCAGCCATTGAAGAGAAAGATATATATATATATATATATATATATATATATATATCTTTTTCAAATATAGACATTCACGAGAAGACAATTTTTGCCATTTTATTGTTCCTAATTCTTTATTAATGTGATTATTTCATATAGCAATTATTATTTAGTTTATAATCCGTTTGCATTGTTAATTTGTATGTTACATACAAAAAGAAATATATTTAAAATATAATAAAATTTTTTAAATAATTTACAACAATACAACAAAAACAATAAACTATAAAAAATACTATATCTATAATAAAATTATATAATTTTTCTTTTAATTGTATATATAATTGCTATATGAAATAATCACATTAATAAAAAATTAGGAGCAATAGAATGTCAAATATAGTGCTATCTTCTCTTGAATATCTATTTTATATATATATATATATACATTCTCTTGAATATCTATTTTTTTTCTTGTTTGCGGACATAACAAACTAATTGTGTTAAAAGAAATATTTACAAATAATAAATACATATGAGAAAGTAAACAGATTCTCTCTGGCTGAGAAATGTCAATATACAAGAATTTCTTAAAATATATTATAGACAATTTTACAGTGTATTATATATATATATATATATATATATATATATATATATAAAGAGAGAGAGAGAGGGAGAGAGAGAGAAAGAGAGAGATGTTTAACATCGTATACTAGAAAATTTAATTATAGTGTTCTAATTATATTTGTTACATAATAATTATTCAGCAACTCAAAATATTATACTTGAAAATAGTTATGCATGTCAGGAGAAGCATTTTACTCATCTTGCAATACATATACAGGGTGTTCTAAAAAGATATGTCAAAAATTTAAGAGATATATTTATAAGGAGATATTCCTCATACCTGACGAAAAAATGTTATATGAACAGGTGCGGAAATAATTATTTCAGGAGTTATGTTGAAAATACTTTTAGCTGTATTACTTACACAAGGAAAAATTTAGGATTAATTATTGTAGACGACAATCGTTTAATTAGGTTTATTTACCTTTGGTTTTAATATGACCTTGAGTATGTTACAATAAATGTTGAAAATATTCACCATTTTCCTAAATATAAGCAGTGACACGTTGACACATCGATTCACGGACACGTTCAAAAATGCCCTTAAAATAAAACACAGGATTAAAATTAATCATTGTTAAGTTTTTTGATAATCTCTTAAAATACATAAGTATTGTAATGAATATATTTTCGTGATCTTGATAATCTTGAAAGATTGATGATTGAAAACACGACAAATTGTTATAAATTAATTGAAACAACAAAAATAACGTATAGGGAAATAAATTATGACAAGATATCTCAGGCGGAGAACGCTTGATAAGAATATGAATGCATCAAAAGACTTCAAATAATACGAAACAAATTTTAATAATTTTACAAATGCGATGATAGCAGATCAATAAACAATTCGCTATTCGTTGTAAAAGGCACACTACATTATTGAGACAATATTCATATCTAATACAAAATACTTGAATTCAATACAAGAGTACATCTCGTGTATAACAGTGTGCGATTTTAAATGATATTAATTTCAAGCTTATTACATATATTTTATCTGTATTGCATGTAAGCCGGGCGTGTTATTTTTTCGAACTTTCTTCTTATTTTTTAGTAGACACGATAACACAAGAAAACAATATATTTACATCACTACCGTTCGCTAGACGAGGAAAAAGTTTTATTCCTACAATTAAATGGATTTTCAAAGGAATAATATATCGTAAAAATGGAATAAACACTCCCTTAATTCCAACTATTTGTTTATATGAATAATCTATCTATAATCTATTTATATAAAATATATATATATCTACATACTAACATAAAATTATTTTATGTTACAATTTCTATTAAATGCTATATATATAACATCTATATATATATACAGGGTGTTCCACAACACTATATACGAATACAAGAGTTTATTAAGAAGAGGTAGAGCGCAGTAAATTGAACAAAAAAATCCCACATCACTTTACGATTTCTACAATAATAGAAAAATTAAATAGTAATAATAACAGAAATGTATTAAATATAGAAATATTAATAAAGAAATATTAAATATTAAAATTGGACGAATGAGAGAAGCGCTCGGTTGTTCGAGCTGTAGCGTGTCAGACAAGGGACAGCGCGGCGCGGCGATGGCGGTGGCGGTGTAACTAATGATTTCTTCATTTGCTCATGGCAGATTATTATTACTCACTTATTATACTATTATACTATTATAGATATGATACAATAAAATAGTTTAATAAGAATGGAAATAGAATGAAAATGAGTAAACTGACAAAAACTCTTCTCTCACGGATATTTACTTCTAATGAAATTGTAAACGCTATTGCGCATTGGTTTTTGCAATGTTGCAGCAATGTTGTTAAATAATTAAAAATATCATTTCTCTTGAATCAACATCAAAGCAAGCCATATTCCGTTATCAATATAGCTAGTGATTATTAGCACAAATCCAGCTTGCATTATTATCGATATCACTTGCAGACGTTAACTTTTTGATAAATATGCCATCATCCTGTGCCGGTGTGATATAATAGGACAATTTATATATGTACAATAAACAAATAAACAATAAACTAAAAACGTAAATTAAATAAACTATAAAATAAATCCATTTTTTTTGTGAATCACAATTATTCAATGGACATTTCTGCCAGAAGTTTATTTATTTGTGAATAATTAAAACTTGTTTTTTTTTATCAATAAAATGATATCGATAATTTGCTCTCATACATATGATATGATGAAACATTTTGGATAAAAGTTTGGACAAAAGAAGATAAAAGAAGATAAAATAATAACCTCTGTCAATCGCAAGTTAATTGAGAATGAGTTCAAGTTTTTAAATGTAGGTACGTGGTTCTCTACTCAAGATTATTAAAATGCATAAAAAGATTTTATAATGAAACATAACATTTTACAATAAGAACATAATATTGTACATTATTATAATAAATATATTAATCTAAATGTAATCAAATGCTTACATATGTGTCAAAAACTTAATTAGTCAAAATTTATCACAAATTTTTCTATCTATATAAAATATTTATCTATCTGCTAGATGGAAAACCCACCAATGATGACATTTGTCAGAGAAGCTGTTTACTGTAACAGCTATAATATAGATACGGATCAGCTAATAATATTTATATTTAATTTGTAGACGAACTATCCCGGATTTACTTGTCCCGGATTTATTGAAGGGAGAGCTCAGTGATCTACAGTGGTGACCTGGTTTTCAAGCTTCTGGTATATACGCCTCCGACACGACCTTCTCCTACAAGCTCTCAGTTCCCTGCTTACAGTCGCAATTGCTGATTTCCAACTATTTGCCTTTCTCTAGTTCTGCAGCCTATCCTTCTCTGTTGCTCCATTTTCGCCATCCCATTGTCGTTATTGTCGTTGTCGTCCTCGTTGTTCGCATCGTCCTCGTTGTCCTTGTTGTTATCGTTGCCACCATTTCCATCGAAAACCGATAGCTTGAATTGTAGAACATTACTTGTTTCGAAGATTTTTCCGTTTGTGTCAGACAGTTTTATGTTCTTGAATCGTTATGTAATGAAGTCTAAAGAAATTAAAAGTCTAAATTTTTAAAAGTTTATGTAAAAATTTTTATATGGATATTTGCAAATTGTTATCTAAGCAAGAATCAAAAATAAAAGCGTTACATGCGTGTGAGTAGCAATATATCTATTTACATATGTAGAGAAAGGTGGACAAAATAACGTAGATACCTGAAAAATATATTACATTTGTTTATTAATAAAATGATAGACCACCATTTATATTTAATACGGTTTCTATTCTCCTTGAAATAAAATCATGCGATAAATTTTGAATAGCCTACAGTAGAATATTTTCCCATTCTTTTATTATATTATGTGCCAATTGCTTCAGAAATGTCGGAGGAGGAAATCTGCTTCTCGCTCTCTTTTCCAAAACTGCCCATAGTGGTTAAATAATATTTAAATCGGGTAATTGTGCTGGCCAGAAAAAATGTTCGAGTTTATTTTGATACTGTTTCGAATAAAGATTAACTTTTCTAGCTGTGTGTACGTTATCTTGAAAAATAGTATTATTTAATAGAAGAATTGGACAATATTCCACTGGAGACTATTCAAAAATTGCATAATTCTATTCCAAGAAGAATTGAAGCTATATTAAAGGGAAATGATGGCTCATCATCTTATTAATAAACAAATACAATATTTATTTTTCAGGTGTTCACATTATTTTTATCTACCCTCTGTATATTTATCTAACTTTTATATAAATTGGAAAAATTAATTTCTTTTACATATTAATTGGAGAAAGAGCAAGAAAAATTCTAATCCGCTTCACTTTATTTACAAGAAAAGTTTTGCCAAATACTTAAATGACCTGCCGAGAGAGCGCAATGAAATTTCTGAAAAATCTAAGGCAATTTCCTACAATATTTCTCAATAATAATTAAGACAATTGCAAAGTCACAGAAGTTTCCTTTACGAATTTGAAAGCAATTGGTAAGACCTCATTTTCGAATAAGTTTCGACTGACGTTTATTTCGGATATAATACCTATATATATATATAATTATATTATATTTTTTAATTATATCATAATTGGCAATTGTAAAATTATAAGTAGATATTGCAATTGTAAAATTATAAGTAGATATTGCAAATTGGAAAATTAAAAATATAGTTTTTTTAATCAAACTGATTATTAACGTGATTTATAGCAAAGAAAATACAGGATAAAAATAAACAATTATAAAACTTGGAAGGTGATTTCATTCGTGATCAGGTGTAGCAGTAGTTGAATTAATTTTATTGAGGAGGAGGGCGTTTCTAACGAGTGCTTAACTTTGATGGGTTTCACCAGTTCCGTTACTGTTTTCATTGAGCGAATTAGGCTCGTTAAATATCGACTTTGATGATCGATCGTGGGTAATCTAGGTCAAATCAAAGCAGAGCAAAATCCAGAAGAATATGTTACATACACACACACACACACACACACACACACACACATATTCTGTTAATTAATGTGAAATTATTTTAGTAGATATTTAATATTTTATTTTAATATAATCTTACTTTGATACTTTTTGCTTTAAGACATTACTTCTGCTTTCTGATTTTAATAAAATAGCGTAAAATATTGTTTTGGAAGACCGATGACAAAAAATATAATCTATCTAAATATTTTTTATTCATAGGATCCTTATTAATCCGTCGACAAAAATAAATTCTGTAAGGGCTATTTTTGCAGGATGCCTAACGAGAATTTGCCGGTGTGTGCCTGCGGTATCGTCGTAGATCTGCCGAAGTCACGGAGTAGCTCGATCGTTCTGGAAAAACTGACTATCCTCCTGCCCAAATCAAAGAGCAATAAACGAGAGGGTAAGGACTCGCGGAAACAACAAGATGACAGGCGAGGATTAAAAACCCGAACGTCGAGTGAGACCGGAAGCAGCAGCTTGGTAACAGAAGCCACGAAACCTACAATGAAGAACAACAAGCAGCGACTCAATCATTCGCGAAGGACTCGAAGCGCCGATAGTGCTGAATCACATCACACTTATACCGGTCAGTTAGTTCGTATATTATGCACAAATTTTATTACAATTTCACTAGACTCTATGACAAGATAAGCACTGCGATGGTTATTTGATACAAGTTGCCATTTCTTGTCTCCTAGATGAACGTATAGAGATCTAGGAATAATCGCTTTTGGCTTGTTAAGCTCTGCAGCGGACCGGGATGGTTTTAAGTTTAAAAAACAGCATTGACTATATAAAGGAATATGTATTGTAGAATGCTCTTATATATGTATCTGGACCACATTACGAATTTAACTGAATAACTCGAATCTGCAGAACTCGAAAATATAAAAAAAATTATAAAAAATCGAACTATAAAAGATTTCTGCTTTTGGATTAATGTTTCTCTATCAGATAATGCCTGTTTTCGACACAATAACAAGGAAAACAATACATTGTTGACTGAAATTTACTTAACAGTTGTAATGAATAGTTTGATAGAATTCGGCATTTCCTCTTACTTCTGATAACGGACTCTATATCTCCTGCAGCATAGCGATCTGAAAAATATGAAGATCAACCACATTGATGAGTCCGTTTTTTCAAGGTTTTTGAAAAAGATACCATATATACAGCGTGTCCCACTTAGAAGTGGCCACCCCCTTTTAAACTAAAAGAGATAGACCATAACAAATATATATGAAATTAAATGGTTTGAACTGAACTTTATTATGAGTATAATGATTGATTACAAAATTTATATATATTGAAAAACGGAGAGATATGCATAATTTTTTTATAATAATGTAGATATTTTGATATAATAAAAGTTGTAGCGCTGTTTGAAACGAATATAACGATGTATGATTTAATGTAAATATTTTACATATTATACGACTCGTGCATTAGAGGTTGACGTACGTCATTAATCATGATACTCAATCAGAAGTTGGTTATGTCGCAGTGCCGAAAATGAAATGGTGGACGTCGCCCGCGATATTTCAAGCCGAAAAATCTCATATAATATGTAAAATATTTACATTAAATCATATATCGTTATATTCGTTTCAAATAACACTACAACTTTTATTATATCAAAATATCTACATTATTATAAAAAATTATTATTATAAAAAAATTATGCATATCTCTCCATTTTTCAATACAGATAAATTTTGTAATCAATCATACTCACAATAAAGTTCAGTTCAAGCCATTTAATTTCATATATATTTGTTATGGTCTATCTCTTTTAGTTTAAAAGATCAAATGAGGTGGTCACTTCTAGGTGGGGCACGCTGTGTATATATATATATATATATATATATATATACATATATATATATATATATATATATATATATATATATATATATATAGGTTTATCAACACATCGCTAATACAATAATATTTCGCTATCTAACAATTTCGATTATCACTTTTGGATATATCGGTTCTAGTTCGGTAATGGAATTAAGTTCCAATTAATTAAAGAGTAAAAACTAAAAACCAAATTCCTTCTCTATGACTTTATTTATTGTCCTAAACAGAAATATTGCATATCTTGCAGAGCTCTTTATGCTCATGCGAATTCAAGAATGACATGTGAGATTTTGATAATATGTTGCATCTTGTTGTTGCTGTTATTATTATTATTATTATTATTATTATTATTATTATTGTTATTATTATTATTGTATGTGTGTGTGTGTGTGTGTGTGTGTGTGTGTGTGTGTGTGTGTGTGTGTGTGTGTGTGTGTGTGTGTGTGTGTGTGTGTGTGTGTGTGTGTGTGTGTGTGTATTGATAATATTTATTATATTTTTAAAACTAAATGTGATAAAATTGCACAGTAGAGACGACCTCATCAATTTTGATGACCTTAATATATGTTACCAAGGACATGTCTCTGAGTGACATTCGAAAGATTTTAGCCGTCCACTCGTTGTTTATTACAAAGTTATAAACAATTAAACATAGTGACTAACTGATGGCATAATGTAAATCTAGTAATGTAAATCTCGATTTGAAATACTGAAAATCTATATAAAATTACACAATAATAGATTACATAAAAACAGGGAGCGGTATGGAGTAAACCTCGTTTCATGTAAAAAGTTCATGGAAAAATGCAGGACCGTTGAACTTATTTTGAGTAAATATGCATAAACTGCACTCTCAGCAAGTGGTAAGATGTAGAATGAACTTTCCTCCCAGAAGATATAACTTAACTGAAACCTATTTCTGATTTGAAACAAATCTGGTTTAAAATAGAAATAGGTTTGGATTTGATTGTATCTATGCATGTATTTTGCAAGATAAAGGAAAGTTCATTCTACATCTAATCTCCCGCTGAAAGTGCAGTTGATGCAGATTTACTCAAAATAAGTTCACAGGACCATTGCATTTATTTTGTAAATAACTTTGTAATAAACGTGGCTAAAACTTTTGGCAAGTTAATCAGGGACATATTCTTGACAACATATTCTTGATATATATGTTAAGGTTATATGTGGAAATTGGTGAGGTTGTCGCTAATATGCACTTTTATTCTAAATTTCCATCAAACTTTTAAAATATTTAATTAAAAATATAAAGTATATAGTACATATAATATATATTTTTTTTTACACACACATATATGTAGTTGTGTGTGTGTGTGTATTATATATATATATATATATATATATATATTATATTTATGTATATATCATTAATAAAATTAAAATTAATCAAAAGAAAAAATGGAGAGAAAAAACTTTGCATGCGCTTTCGATAATGTTTTATAGATTCAAGTTCGAGTGTCCTCAGTGATAGAATTCGAGAGAACACCGCCATACCTGAAGTATTATATACCGGCATACCGGACACGATGAACACAAATACCGAAGAGATCAGGACTAATCGGTCGAATATGCAAAACAGATCACAAGCTTTTTCTACTGCTATTCCATCTATGACGTCACCACCACCGACGTACGATGTCGCGATTGCAAAAGCGCGACAGGTAAGATTTGCTGCAAACTATTGTCTTAGAAAAATAAAAGTACTGTTAAGTGTTGCATTTATAAATTTGGTGATATTTTTCTAACTTTAAGAGTTTATCTATGTTGATAATAATTTATATGCGATCCACACATGTCCCGTTTCACTTAATGTATGGTCGTGAATAATAATCGTTACAATCGATTGTCGATACAAAAAAAAACATTAAAAACAAAATTGACTATTTTATATATATATATATATATATATATATATATATATATATACATATATATAAGGAAACATTAAGGGAAATGTAAAATTGATTTAGCCGCTAACTTGATCATTTAAACTTACATGGATTAATATATCATCAGGAATGAGTGTCGAAATGTTTATGTTTTTCTTAATTAGCAACAATAAATTATGCTAGTAAATAATGATATCACTTATTATCTTGTCACTCATTAGTCGATTATTAGTGCCAAATATTCTACTTATTGATTATATCTTATTTCCTAGAAATCTAAAAAGAAATTTAAAAAGAAGAACCGTAGCCGCAATTTATTATTTCGCAAAAGTACATTGCGTTTGATATTTGTGAAACATGAAACTACACAACGATCAGATATTGAAACCGCAGCCCTGCAAATATAACGGCAAGCAATTATTGTATGTATACTCTGGGAACGTAGTTGTTGGCTAAAATAACGTGATTTCAATGTGACAATAACGAGACAGTTTTTAAAATTTTGTTAATTAATCAAAGATTAATCTCTCGATTAACTCTGTTAAACAAGATGATCGCTATAACGTATTAATATATTTCAATTTAATTCGTCGAAAATCTATAACGGATTATCATAGTTATTAGATACCTTCTAATAAGAGACTCGAGGCCACTTTTGATTGGTCCGCCATTTTTAGGCAACTATCGCTCATATTCAAACTTTAATTACCCTACGTAGAATATAAATGATATTTATTAATAAAATATTATAGATAAGTAGTGAAAATTTAATAATGATCTATATATATAATAAGCACTATTATAACAATGAAATTTTAATTATTATAATAATGAATATTATATATATATATATATATATATATATATATATAAATTATAATAATAAATTTTATTTAAATTTAAATATTATAAATAATAATAATTAAATTATAATGACAAATTTTATTTTATTTAAATATTAAGTATGAAAAATTATTTTGACATATTATTTATAAAAATTTTAAATATTAGTATTTTTTAATGTTTGTATTTCTATATTAATAGAAATATTATACAAATACTAAAAACCAATTTAAAAAAATTTTTTTAATAATATATGACAAAATAATTTTTTATATTATTTCATATTATTTTTCATATTATTGACGGATTATTGCAAAATTCTACTGTATGTCCACCTATTTTATTTTTATGTCTTAACTATGTAAGAATATTAACAGACACATCTATTCACAAACACATACATTCTTGTAAGTGAAATCTACAGTTTCCTCGTAGATCCTACCTACATCTCTCTCTCTCTCTCTCTCTCTCTCTCTCTCTCTCTCTCTCTCTCTCTCTCTCTCTCTCTCTCTCTCTCTCTCTCTCTCTCTCTCTCTCTCTCTCTCTCTCTCTCTCTCTCTCTCTCTCTCTCTCTCTCTCTCTCTCTCTCCCCTCCCTCCCTCCCTCCCGCTCTCCCTCCCTCCCTCCCTCTCTCCCTCCCCCTCCCCCTCCCCCCTCCCCCTCTCTCCCCCCTCTCTCCCCCTCTCTCTCCCTCTCTCTCTCTCCCTCTCTCTCTCTCTCCCTCTCTCTCTCCCTCCCTCTCTCTCTCTCTCTCTCTCTCTCTCTCTCTCTCTCTCTCTCTCTCTCTCTCTCTCTCTCTCTCTCTCTCTCTCTCTCTCTCTCTCTCTCTCAGGATTTTGCATAAACGAAACATACTCTCGATATGCGCTCATTCTATCTGATGATCAGTCTCTTATTAAAGGGTCTCTGATAGTTATTAAATCATCAGTATAAAAAACTGTGCGCAATGATATGATATTATAAAATATATGATATTTATTTAAAAAAAAGAAGATATGGAGCCAAGATTATTAGAAAAAGGGACACACGTCGAACAAACATATTTATCTCAAAGGCATATTCTGCAAAATTGCAAATACATACCCTTATCGCAACTTTTTATCTCAAAGAAAAAAGTTTTTCTTTAAAAATTTTAAAATGCATATATTTTTTACAAAAATGTTTGTCATCGAAATCTTTGCATCAGTTACAGAATTATAGCCAAATATACACTTTCAAATTTATTTATTTTAAAATTCATTTAGAAATATACACAATTAAAATTGTTTATATTTCGTATTTATATATAAATTTAAAAAATGAGAGTGAAAAAGAAAGAGAGAGAGAGAGAGAGAGAGAGAGAGAGAGAATCAAGAAGGAATAAAATCTCTAATATAATACAAGATAACTAAATCAACAATTTCAATCGCTAGTTAAAGCAATAAAGCAATGTTATATAAACTTAAGAGTACAATGTCTGAATATTAAAATAGCTATGTATAATAATTTTATCGAATCTTCTCTAAAATATATTTTCATTTTACAGACCGGTTTACCACCGACCTACGAGGAATATTTGTATCACAAATATGCGATGATATCACGCTCACATACTCCTCCACCACCGTGGTCAGACTCGACGACAACATCATCTTCGATGTTGTCATCCAATCCAACTTCGAGTCTCCAGACGCATCGCGACCTTTTGCTCAGTCAGCCCGAGCTTCGCGAGTATTTAGCACAGCTGACGCTTGACTCGCACTATCAACATCAGCATCAACAGCATCAACAGCAGCATCGGCAACAATCCAGAGACGCTATCTGTTCCGCCCTGAGAGAACAGCAGATCAGAGCGCATCATCGCGCACGGGCAGTGCCTCCCAGGTGAGTAATCGAAAAAAATGTATAGAGATTACCACTATATGTAATAGTATGTTTCAGAATTGGAATCGCTCTTGCCAAATAATTTATCAAGTTTTTCAATGACCACATGCGGTATACTATGATACATGTACACAATCTATCAGAAATTATTTCAAGATTATATTATATTATATTTATTTAACCATAATGTAGATGCTGAAAATTAGTAGCAGCATCAAAATGAAGTTTAAAAAATTAGTCGGGCCAGTAATTATGCAAATAATAAAAAAATAAAAATAATAATAAAAATAAAAGGTGTCTTACTGTTTCTTTTTTGTCGATTCAGTCATTAAATAAGGAATAACGAGATTTCTAAAAGAATTTTAAAGCTTGATATGAGCAAAATGAAATACACAAAAAATGCATTTCTAAATGTATGTCTACTATGCTCGAGGCGTTATACAAACATGTTTTATTTAAAATAATTTTATTAAAATTCGGATGCCTTTAATGTTTATTAAAAATATATAATTGCATTATCCCATAAAGAAACCTTATTGAAATACTCTATAAAAATTATAGAATTATTTGTTTCTGTCCTCTATGCGTGCGTGCATACGTGCATGCGTGCGTGCGTGTGTGCCTGTGAGTGCGTGCGTGTGCGTGTGTGTTTGTGGGTGAAAGATATTGTCGCAATTTTATGTAAAACATAATTATAAAAAAATTTATTAAAATTTCTATTAAAATTTCAATATTTTATCTCTTAAATATCTTTGATTATTAGAATTGTTAGAAATATATTTTCCAATTGAAAAAATTTAAACTTGCTTGCAGATCGCAAAGTGAAAGTCGAGTGCAGCAACAACGAATAGCAGCAATGTATGAAGACGCTGCGTTTTGCATGGAAACTACAGTATTGCAGTCGGCCTTTGATTCTGGCCAAGGATTCGGTCTTTGTAGCTTAATGTAAAAATACGACAATTTTTGTCACAGTAAAAAATATTATGAGCAAGTTAATATCATCAATTAATAATCCTTGCAGAAATATTTGTTTGAAAATGAGAATCTATTCCGCCAAGCAGAGAAAACATTTGCGAAAAAATTCAATCATAAATGATACATCAAACTTCCTCTCATGGATGCAACGACACATAGCATTGCGATAAATAACTACTCTTTTACTTTACTCTTTAATTAGCTGTTATCTAATAAAAATACTCTAATAAAAATTATTTCAACTGTACTTTTTGCGTTAATTTGTAAATAAAACACTTGGTAATTATGAGAAACCCGTTAAAGAAATTATTTTTATCTTGCGCATATCATACTCTGCTGTTTCGTCTTTAGCACAAATAATTTATAAATGTAAACAAATGCTGTGTGGGCATAATAACGTGGTCCTAACAACATACAAAGCAGAAAGTAGTATGTAAAATTGATGTTAACTTAAGATGTTGTATAGTATAGAGCGATGTATGTATGTATGCGTTAAGACAGGCAAGAGAGAAAAGTGTTATATAAAAATCATCTTAAATATAATAACACATAAACATAATAAAGCGAGGAAATTATAATTTTAATCTAATATAAAACAAATATGTATGTAATAAGTTCAAGTTAAATATATTACGAAAATGAATTCTATGTATTATAAGCAAACATTGTGCACTATTATTTTCTTTCACTTATTACCGTATTGTTAAATCGAGTAAAAAGAAAAAAATTTAATGCAGTATTTGTATATTTGTTATCTTTTCAAAGTGTAAATATATTTTTTTTTAATTTATTATTTCTCTAGATCATCAAGAGAGGGAGAGAGAGAGAGAGAGAGAGAGAGAGAGAGAGAGAGAGAGCAACAAAGATATTTTAAGACATGATCAAACTACGTCAAGCATTCTATTTTTATTTTCATTTAAATGTTTTGGAAAATTAATTAATTACGTCAATTTTCGTTCTCAAAGTAGAATATCTAATTAGTATTTATTTAAATATATAGAAATGTCCATAACAATGACGATTCAATAATCCAAGTATATAAATTAAAATCCCGAGATTTTGACACCGTTGGAAACGCGAAAGATCCTCTCCTTCGGTGGAAGTTCACCGATTTTATACTGATCTAAGGTTGTTTTGGCGACGGTGGAATGTCCAGTACCGATAAACGCTAAAGTCGCATCTCGTCCAGCATATTCCAAGAGAATGTCTTGGCCACCCGGATGATTATTTAGAAATTCTGTGCAATCGTATACGTAATCATGGATCACCAACCAGCAATCATTAGTTGCATCGTGCCAAGCGACTTCATCTAAATGAATCGTCCGCAATTCGTTGTGCGACTTTCTTTTGCTTGAATTTGTCCTATGTCTTTGTTCTTTGATGCATTCATTTTTCTTCATGGAATTGTCACGCTCAACCTGTAGCAAATTTTCCTTGGACGATTTCATATCCACCAATTCGGGAGAGTGACAACACAGATTTGAAAGATCTATGCTGCTACGAGTTCTAAGAGCACTTTTTCTGCAACATAAATAGATAGTGATTGTGTGTGTGTGTGTGTGTGTGTGTGTGTGTGTGTGTGTGTTATCTTGATAATTCTTTTGCTTTTAAATACACATAAAATATACTTAAGCTCTTCAAGAGAATGCATCTCGAAATTGTAAATATATAAATCAACCACTCATAATAGCTGTATAGTTACTAAAAATCTTTTTTGATAAATTAAAATCCTGGATCTTTCACGAAATAACATGAATTATTACAACATCATGATTAAAACTCATTTGGATGCATCATAAAAAAAGCTGAAGAAAATAAATATAATATTATAACAAATACATCACAAATAGTATATAACTACTATTTACAGTAAATTATTGAATTTTTTATATACAATGTTTCCATCATATTACTCTTTAAGTTCACTGTTCAAGTCAATTAGATTGTCACTTGTTGTATTTGCTAACACAATTTGAAGCAATTAGGCGATAAGACACAATTCCATATCTTCTTTAAGGGATTTCAATGTATAATTAATAAATTTAAAATAAATTCCATCTCCTAATTTTTTTACATTAATATACAGATAACTAATATACATATATAATATTAATATACATATATATATATATGTGTGTGTGTGTGTGTGTGTGTGTGTGTGTGTGTGTACATTTTGCTTAGGTATTATGAAATCAAAAGAACAGAATCTGATACATTCTCGATACTATAGTCTCTTTTTATGATACATACGCATATCAAAAAATGAAACTGTAAGATAACAGAAATACAATTATAATAAAATTATATAAGTCGATTCTCTTCAATCAGTAATGTGTGTACGTGTGTATATGTGTGTACATGTAAACACATATGTACATGTACATATATATATATATATATATATATATATATATATATACACATATGTATATATATGACTAAAATATTTCAACAGAGATAAATCATTTCTTAACAAAAATAATAAAAGATATAAATAAATAAAAGAAGGGAGTAAGAGAGAGAGCAGGAAGAAAGAAATGACAGGTTTATCTCTTTTTGATAATGTACGTGTAATTAATTGATAATTTATTTTAAATTGAAAACTATTAATTTTATTTAATAATTAGAGACTTGGCTCAAGTAATCAAAAAATCAAAAAGGAAATGGCATAAGAGCCAACGCGCGGTAGTTGGAACGCAGAAAAGCAACAACACTTCTTTCCTTTTTCAATATTATTTAGTTTATTAAAAAAACACACATTATATAACAAAAAGCGAACGTTTCGGATCATCTTTTGATCCTTTTTCAGCGCGATGTTAACAATATATATTACAGATGACGCGTTACATTAAACGAATTTATTCTCGACGCGTAGGTGACGCTAAATTGCATCCCGCGGAGGTCTAGTAAGCACTCTGCTTCCAACAATCAATTAAATATACTATAGTTATGCTATGCGTCACAGAAGATCAGATTCCGCGCTTTTTTACACTTAATAATATAGTCTGTGCGGCATACTATATTGTTAATTGTAAAAAACTGACTTGACGAACTCATCGAATCTCGAATATACATGAGGCGCACTATAATATATATGTAATCTGTAATATATATTGTTAACATCGCGCTAGAGAAGGATCGCTGAAGAAGGATCAAAAGATAATCCGAAACGTTCGCTTTTTGTTATTATAATGTAGTGTTTTTTTAATAAACTAATATTGAAAAAAGAAAGAGGTGTTGTTGCTTGTCTGCGCTCCAACTATCGCGCGTTGGCTCTTATGTCATTTTCTTTTTGATTTATTAATTTTATTTTTATATTATATGTATAGATATTTAATTAAAACATTTATCATTTTCCATTTCATTACACACTTTTTTCATACTTTATAGTTAAAATATGCGTTTTTGCACAAATTTATACATACTTAAAAGCACGATAAACGATTGCTACGTAATTAATAAAACGATTATTATACGGTAATGATTATTAATTGCATTTAAATACAATTGATTGGAATATAACATACTATGATAAATTAATGTTTGCAATTTGTGGAAAATTATGAGCAATTACCTCGTTAATTATCAATTATTTTGTAAAATTGAATGATAAAGATGACTGAAAAAGGCATGAATGCAAAAACGTTGAAAATATTATGTGTGGATTGAAAAAAGATAACGGGATTATGTAAGCCGATTAACACACTTTGGCGATGTCGTAATTTACCGCTCACAATCCGGGACACGATAATAATTCGAAATATACATAGATATGTTATGTTAAATCAACTTACAATGGCGAACGTTTCTGCCGATGTTGTCTGTCAAGAGACATCGTGTGGAATACTGTGCACGCTAGACAGAAATCAATTCCCTTGGGAAAAGAAAATAATTTTATTACCGGTTGAAACCTAATACGTGCACCCGCGAGTTGTCTTTTTATGTACTATCGTGATAAACGTATAAAACACTTACATAATCCTAATTATTCAAACTGATTGCGCTCGAGTAAAAAATTATTCCTTCTTCTTGAAACTCCAATAATGATCACTAATTGAAAACAATTCAGATAAAGAAAATACATATAAATTAATAACGTAAATTAATAAACAAATTTTAAACGACTTTAACTCTTAGAAGAAGAGAGAAAAAGGATCGCACGCGTGAGATATACCCTGTAAATTGTAAACTATTTCAATTCTCCTTCTTCGTCAATTTTCGCATAGTTAATAACTTTCTGCAAAAATTGTAACTGGAATTTTTGTTCGCAATTCAAAGAAAACTTCAATGCGCTCTCTATCGATTGACATTTATATTAGTCAGTGATTTTCTTGTTTTGCCGCACGATGACAATGACCAGCGATCAATAAAAAATGTGTCATTTTTCTAGACTGAACGCATAAAAAAAATATAATTGAGAAGGCGCGCTTTTTCCGAAATGATGCTTGTATTTGCGATAATAAGCTTTTAATCGGCATGTCTCGGATTCCACAGTTTACATATAAATGATATCGTGAAGACGTAATTGTTATTATTTACTAATACAATAAGTCATTATCGGCGCTTATCTATTCACATATTCGTAAGACATGATATTGATGCATTCATGTATTGAGCTATTCAATTGTTTCGTTTTTTGACTCGAGAATAGAGTGGGAAACATGTATTTTATATTTAATTTTAATCATATATATCATCTGATATATACATGTACACGTACACACACACATTTTTTTATTTGTCTTATATGAGAAATAAACGGTGCAATGTATAAATGAATCGCACGCAAGAAAAACTTTGTAAATTACTATATAATATTGAATAATAATAATATATAATCTTTATCGATTTCTTTATCAAATGCGCTATAATAAATAACAATCTGCTTCTTGACTGATGCAAACAAAATAATTACTAAAGATAGTTGAAATGAAAATTTTGAAAAAATTATCCGATAAATATTAACATAAAAAATGTAGTAAGTAAGGATATCCGCAGACAATGTAATATCCAAAGGATATGAATGAATGGAAATGAATCGACATGAAAAAAAATGAAATTTGCATATTTTCGAGAATGGAGGATAACGGATAGAAAATGGATATAGTTTGTGTGATAATTTTTGAATGAAAAAAAAACCTCGATTGGAAACAATAATGACGTTTCAAAAGAAACAAGCTGATAAGCTGATAATCTTCCATAATGAAAAAGGAAGAAAAACAGAAAATTCGAGTCATTTCAATTTTCGACAATTGAAACTAAATTAGAATTTTAAAAGAAAAATTGATTTTATTCATAATTTATAGATAGATGAGAGATAAAATGTGTATCAAAACAGGAAGCGTAGTACGCTAACCGGTTGTCGATACAATGGAAAATGTAGCGAGTTGTGAAATCCAAAAGTGGATTTTTCAAAAAAAAAAAAAAGGTCGATTCTCATTATCGATAAGGAAAGAGGCTAAAACAGGGTATTGGCTACAAATTTGTCAGTTCTGCTCGTCCAACTGTCGCATCGCGTTGTGCAAAAAGCTGGTATTATCGCCGACCGAGGCCGACGCGACGCGACGCGACGCCGCCGCATCGCCAGTGATCGCTAGGGCGCCAGTGAGCGTCGTTGACGACGACGACGACGACGATGACGACGACGGCAACAGCAGCGGTGGCAGCGATAGTGATGATGACGGTGCGGTCAACGCTGGCGGCGGCGCACTGCGAATCTGATAGTCGCAATCATGCCACCCTGACCTCACGCACATTTCCGTAAGCACGGGAAGCGAGCGTGCGTCGACGTTGCAGGAAAAGATACACTCTTTGGTACATCCGCGGTAAACATAGGTGAATAACAACGAAACACAACGGCAACCAGTACTCCGGACGTATATACGCGCACGAGCGGAAGAGGTCGTCGTCGCAGGGGAGGATCAGATCGGATAATTGCAGACAATTCGTTCGTACAAGTTCCTCTAACTTTTCTTCTCGTGGATGACGTTTACGCATCCGAAGATGCTTGCAGAAAACGAATCGTCATCTAATTGTAATCGAATCGTATTGACATGTCGATTGAAAAATCAACTCATTTCAATGTTGGAAACACGTATACGGGGATCCGAAATGAAAAGTCGGTGTCGATAAAACGCCAGTCGAGATAACGCTCGCGAATGCGAGCGAATATGCGCAAACATCGGATCGATCGACCGCAAACGCGTTCGATAATCGAGGAGATGTCCCGAGAACTCGCCACATGCTCGTTTAAAAACAGGTGCACGTAGAACGAGAGAATGTATCGCGCGGGTACATACATGTACATTACATGTGCGTGTGTAGAAAATGTGTCCTCGTGACACATATTAGGTACCTACAACAGGGATACGGCGGTGCACTTGCGTGCGCCGCCACTATACCGCGTGAAGGCGCATTTGTCTGACGCGCGCGCGCGCGCGGGCGTGAGAGTGAGAGGGAGAGAGAGAGAGAGAGAGAGAGAGAGAGAGAGAGAGAGAGAGAGAAGAACCGGCGCACGCGACGCCTGAAAGCGCATTTTCTCCGACACGCTGGAAAATCGTTGCCCTTTGGCAACGACGATTCGCAGGAGCGCGACGTATACAGGGGACTCGCGCTTACATAGTGTAAAAGTGCACGTGCGGATGTGTGTGTCTGTGAGATCCGAGAAGGATTTTGAATAAAATTGAGGGTGCGAGACGACGCCGCACCACCGGCGCTGCACGCCGCACGTGCTTCATTCCATCCGAGCCGGATCGATCGCCCGGAAATGTGTTCGAGCCCCAAGCTGTGCGGTCATATGCGTCTTATTCGTCGTGTGCGAATCTCTGCTTGCAAAAGTGCTCTTCCCCAAGGATAAATGATGCCGTTAATTTCGGCAACTCGCGCGAAATTGCATCGTCGATTCCTATATTCTTTGCATCGACTTTATTTTTCGCTCGAGTGTTGGTGAGAAAAGTGAATCAATCGCGCATACGTACACATCTATCAGAAATGTACGCAATATAGAATGAGTCGATCGCTCTATTTACCCTTAAATCGGTGAACAAGTGTTTGACAATGTTCGATCCGTCAAAGTACCCGTTATTGACGTACGTAGAAAAAAATTTAATTCCTAGCCTTTGTAAAATTCAAATTTTTGCATGTAAAATGACCCGGGAAGATAGTTCTTCACAGCTTCGAGTAATCCTTCGGGAAAGCATATCGTTCATTTTTCTCTAGACTATTGCGACTCTCTCCTTTTTCTCATCTTTTGGTCTTTTTTATTTCCGGGGAAATGAAATTACGTTCGGAGCAAAGTACGTGTAGTACAAAAAATAGGAAGAGGGGAAAAATGTGTACTCAACTTTTAATTAAAGAAATCTCTGTTTCCTTCCACGCCGAGCACAGAGAAGCCGATTCACTCTACATCGTAAGCGCTTGGTCCTCTTTCGATGAGATTTCTCGATCGCAAAATCTTGTTACATTCGCAAAATGTTGTTCAACGATATTATTAAAAGTAGAGAGAAATAAAATTTTGCCGAGGTTTGTTTATTATATATCGCGAATAATTGTTTGGATCGCTTATCGATAGATTAATTAATTAATTAATGAACTAGCGTCATGATAGAAAATAATTTTGTCTCGAATAATTTATACGCACCATTTGGCAGATAATGTCGTGTCAAATATCTCATCGTCGATGCTAAGCAGCATCAACGACGACAACTTGCGCTTATACTTGCCTCTTTATATCGCATTCGTCTATTTGTCGTTCTAGTCTCGCCGTTCAGTCCTGAATTCCAACTCCGAGTTTTGTACGCCGATGTCGACACGCGCCGCCACGCGTAATAAACGACAGATTGTGCCGAGACTGTTCCGCTGGCACACTTCTGGTCGCCTTTTCAGGTAACAGATCCGTGCAAAGTGTAACGATAGCTTACAAGCCGACGCCAGTCTTTCTTTTTTCTCGTCGCGCAACCAACCAAATACAACTCGTCCGTCACTTTTCGTTAGCATCATTATTAATAGCGAAGGCATCGATTAATTGATTTATGTTATAAAAAAGAAAAAGGCACGCGTCGATAAATAATTCCGTCTCGTCCCGGCTTCGTTTGTCATCAATAGAGCGTAGCGTACCCCCCTGTGTGGTAACATCAGACTTGTACGGATCATCGACTTTGACTCGCCTCTTTTCCAACGTATGTCAGAACAACCCCTTTCCCCTTCCCACGCTTGGTAATCGAAGCCTAGTTCTTATCCCACGTTCGCGGGGGAGTAACTGCCCGATATCGCGCCGCTATCACGGCGCTTCGTTAAAATACAGCCTTCCTACAGAGACACGCAGCTATCTATGGACGCAACATCCTCTCGCGCAGCCCTGTGCATCTTTTTGTATCTCTCCTTTTTTTCACGCGAACGAAAGAATAGAACGTAGTTGTATTTCTGCCCTTTTCCTTTAAATTACACTACCGAAACGTGAAAATTAGATTGAGATCCTATGTTTGTATTATTATTAGCTTCTTAGCTCTCCCCCAACGCCAACACACTCGTTCGCACGCATACGGTTGTGAATACGATTACGATTCTAAAAAGCTCTCTCCTTCTTCGTCTAACCAGCGAAAGCGCGCTTTTCGCTACAAGATAGTCTTTTCGTGACAAACGAAAGAAAATTAATCTTACGAATAACTTTTTAATTATCATCCTTTTCAAGCCTTTGAGCTCGTTGAGCGATATTATCGGTAGTGCTATTTGAATCGGTTAGGAAAGGTCCCTCGATCACTTCGAATCACCCATCCCGCGAATTCTCGATTGTCCGCACCGCGCCACGCGTGTGCGAGAGAACTTCTACTATTTATAAATTGTCCGAATTCAGTCGCGTTGGCGAACGATTCGACTCGACAGAGCTACTGCTGCTGCTGCTGTTGCTGCTGCTGCTGCTGCTGCTGCTGCTGCTGCTGCTACTGCTGCTGCTGCTGCTGCTGCTGCTGCTGCTGCTGCCGCGGCTGCCGCAGCTGCCATTGTCGCCGCCGTTACCGCCGCCTCGTGTAAGGAACAATTTGCTACTCCATAGTAAAAATAGAAGCTCCTAGTCTGCTAGCCGAAGCTCGCGGCTAAAGCTGAAACGCGCGCGGTACCGTTCTAGCCGCGCAAGGCAGACAAACGGCGTATGTTCGACAATGCCCCCAATGGTGTGCTTGCGCGAATGCGGACGATGATGCTGATGTAGATATTGCTGCTACCGATGTTGCGTACCGAGCTCGAACGGCATCCATCGCCGTCAACGCAAAGAAAGCTCGTGCGCGCGCGTATCCACGTGTGTCTGTCTTTGCCTTTTCCGATCCTCTCTCCCTCCCCCCTCTCTCTCTCTCTCTCTCTTACTCTCTCTTTGTGCGTGCGCGATGTGTATATGTGTATTGCATACTCATGTGTATACATAGAGTTCGGCATCGCTCTGCTTTTCTCTTCGTCTTACGTCCACTTTGCAATCCGTTCAAGATAAACTCAGTGTTCGCCGAGATTTCGCCGTGAGACCAGTCTTGTGTCATCTTAGTCATCGACCGATCTACCATAGATAGATCTCGTGGATGACTCATCAAAGAATTTTATCGGGTCCTCGTTTTACAAAGGAAACGTCAAATTGAAAGAGAAAAGTTTTCGAAAATAAAAGAAAGTTATGAGAGATTGAGTGATAAAAAAAATACAAACGTGATAAAGATAGAGAAGCAAGTAAAAAAGAGGAGAGAGAGAGAGAGAGAGAGAGAGAAAGCGAGAGAGAAGAGAGAAAGAGAAGCACATTCCGAGCGGATCACGGATGCTTATAGAAGCGTTGCGTAACAGCGTCAGACGAATAACGAAAACGCGACTCCGTTGAGCTCGTCTAATTTCGACAGTTTCAACAGAAAACGCAATCTGGTTCGCAATTTACAACGAATCTTCTCACTTCAGAGCAACATCTTTCAACGGTCATCGTAGAGCTTCAAAGTTCTAGAATGTCGTATGCGAGATGCTGGATGCGCGATTTTTCGGGGACCCTCAGCGAGACTCGATTCCGTTGATCTATAATCGCAGACGACCGCGACCTCACGTGTGCGTATATGTACAAGTGTCCAAGTGGTGTGTGTGAGTGTGCGCGCGCTCGTGTGTGTGTGTGTGTGTATGTGCGTGTGCGTGTGTGTGCGTGCGTGCGTGCGTGCGTGCGTGCGTGTGTGTGTGTGTGTGTGTGTGTGCGTGCGTGCGTGTGTGTGTGTGTGTGTGTGTGTGTGTGTGTGTGTGTGTGTGTGTGTGTGTACGTGTGCATGTGTGTGCGCGCTAGTAAGCGAGAAGGAGACGGACCGGAACGATAGTATGGCGAGGTGACCGGGGACGTTGTCTTCAGGTGGCGGCGATTTTATGTGATCGAAGATGCGAACAAGAGAGAATGGATAAGAAGCGTTCGAGGAAATGTATCGATTTTAAAGCGGTTATCGCGAGCATTCTTACATATAATTTTTCGGCTCCGGAAGTGAATGAGAAACGTTTCGCGTTCGCGATCGAGAGATGTAGATTTGCGCTCGCATGTTTGGTTCCTCGAAGTCGAACTAAAATTAAACCCGGCCCGGCGAGGCTCACCGATTCTTTTCTCACGTCCGGCTTCTCTTTTGCGGGTTGCGTCGCGATGACAGGCAAGCACCTTGAGAATTCAGGCTTGAATTCGCGATCCGGGAATTGACGCGCGGTTGTCGCGCCTCCGCGATCTTGAGCGCTAACAATAAGATAAAATTTCGGTAACGTGTATATTCGCGTACGCTCGTGTTTCTCGCGACGACAAGTATAACGTCGACGATAAGTACGCGTTGCGGTAAATCAACGCTCGATTCTACGATATTATTATAGAGACCTAGCGAAGGCGGACGTGAAGAGGCAGCAGCGAAAAGAATGGAACGATATCCGAAACGAGGGACTCGCAGACATTGCTGACTATGCTCTGTCCGAGAGCACGATTAAGACGACTGCAATAGCGATCGTAATCAAGACGAAGACGAAAGAGAGGTAGACGAACGTCGAAGAGACCCGGGTAGGGAGACTAGGAAATCGAACGACCAGTGCCCGCGATAGCCGCGAGAGATGCAGCAACAATCCGGCCAGCAATCGTCCGGGGCGCCAAATGGGGTCGCGGGGGGCGCTCAATTGTCGCAAACAGGTGGCATAAGCCCGGCGCAACCTGGCGCGACCGGTACCGCCACCGTGCCGTCGAATCGTACGCAGATTAACGGAGGTAGATTCGACTTTGACGACGGCGGGACCTATTGCGGCGGTTGGGAGGACGGAAAGGCCCACGGCCACGGCGTATGCACCGGACCGAAAGGTCAGGGCGCCTACTCCGGTAGCTGGCATTTCGGCTTTGAAGTATCCGGTGTTTACACTTGGCCTAGGTGAGTACAACTATCGTTGATGTGGATTATACCGCTAGTAGGACACAATTCTTTCTCTTATCGATGTTTTCCTCACAATGCACGATCGTTGCATTCCGAGTGAAATTTCGCGCAACAAACGGAATTGTTAGAATAATTGATCAATTTCCATGTACATACGCGCGCGACGCAAACGTGTATGTATGTGCAGGGTGCACGTATACAATTCGCCAAATTGATGACTTAATTGCACTTTCTTTTCACTTGCGAAACAAATTAATCTTACATTCTTTTCGCGTTGGCGCGGAATGCGCCCGATTAAAACTAAATTGGAGTTGAAAGTAGAATCGTTTAGGCCAGGACGAGTGTATGCTTTTTCACACGGCTGATTATTCAGCATTAAATTGTAATATCACCGCGTTAACGGTGTTCGCGTCGTAAGGCAAACGAGCACTAAATACGATAAGCTGCAAAATTAATAATTCGAGACTAATAAAACTAACAAACTTTGAGAAGCTTCGATAACCGTCTTTGATAACTGTAAAGAAGAAAATGCTTTTCCAGTGGATTAGATATTTCGTTGACGCTTTTGAATTTACGTGACTTCGTGGCGTCGCATAACGCGAGATGAGCGAATAGCGGACCTTGACACGTATCTCGGTATATACCAGGGAGGGAATCTCCCGATCCTGGGAAACTAGGTCACTGCGCGCAAGGACAACGGGGATCGAATCACTAAGATTCACTTTAGCATCTAGTTTAAGGTCGGGATAATCGTCAAAATTTTCGAGAGTAATACATCTTTGTGCCGAAAATGAAGAAATTTCTTAAATCTTGCAATTAAAAAGTTAATTTAATTAAATCTTTTGTCTTGTAAAGTTACAGTCTTATTTTCGATAAAAAAAGGGAAGGCATGATTGGAGTTGAAATTAGAATCTTGAATTAAAACGCAATGTCGAATATTATCAAATATACTAGTTTAACGTTATTAACAACGACATTTGCAGAGAAAAATATTCCATATCATTTTTTTTATATGAAAAATAACAGCAATATATGTTAATATTCTTAATTTATTGACCAATCACATATTCGAGCATTTCTTCATCTTTATTTTCTATTAGCTGAAAATAAATCTACCATTGACATTAATTATATAAAAAGAACATTCTGAAACGCTATAAAAATACTCTATAACATAACTCTATAACTCTATAACATAAAAATTGTGCAATTCTGAAACGCTACAACATAAAAATATTCTATAACATAACTCTATAACATAAAAATTGTGCAATAATTATAAATTCTATTTACTCTTTAAGGATCAGGAATTGTATGAAAAAAGAAAAAAAAAATATATATATGTATGCATGTATATATGTATATATATGTATGTGTGTATGTAATACAGATATATGTGTGCATCACACAACTAAAAATAAATTCCACAGTATCCATACGTGTGCGAAACATGGAAACCTCGAAAAGATCTAATAATCGTAATTAAAATTTTTAAACCATGTAACCTATAATTTATAATGGAAATATTATCTCACATAAGAATAATAGAAATATACAAAATCGAAATCATTTTGTTACAATAATTTTGTTTTCTTTATAACATTTAAAAATGTTTTTTTCATGTGCTTGATATGAGAAGCCATTTTTTTCAATATATATATATATATATATATATATATATATATATATATATATATATCTGAGATTTCATTTGAAACACAATATTAGTGAATTATAAATTTTAACTTTTTAAAGCGTTATTTTGTATACGTGCGTGTGGATTTCTGTGAGACTGTTCTCGACAACTTTAATAATAAGTCTTTTTTGTTACTGATTTTTGCGGGAAATGGAATAGATTGGATGCGAATAATATGTAAAAAATAAGGATTGAGAGAGGTACGATGAAATACTTCTTCTCCTCACTAATACATCTATTTCGTTTTCACACAAGCTAAAGTAAAATCTTTTCCAATCTTTCTGCAACATTTTTCGATACTTTGTTGACTTTATTTTTTATCATATTTTATGGTAGTCAAAGCACAAACAAAACAAAAGATTCGTCTTTGTAATCTTTGTGTATCGTATTATCGACTATTGTATTTTAAAAGATATTTGCTCCGCAAACATTAAATTTTATTTGGTAAAATATTTTTTTTCTTTTAGCGAAACTGTCTATATAAAATTTACCACTTATTTATTACACAAAGATTTAATGTAAGATAAAAATCTTAATCGATATGTATTATGTGATATATAACCTTAATTATATCAATTAAATTAATCATATTTAATTATATTTCTTCATGTATGTGTGTGTGTCTTGTGTGTAATAATTGGCCTTCAATAAGAATAAAGCATGTTCTTTTAATTCATTTTTCAACTTTATATTGCACGAATATATAATTAAAACACTATTATAGCATTATAATATATTGAAATTTACAATTAAATTGCATCGTGTAGAAACTTTTACATATAAAAATTTGTAAATATAAATTGTAATAATTTGTGCAAATAATATAAATTTTTATTACGAATTTTTGTTATGACCATTTCTCTCTACAAGGAAACTACTCCTGTAAAAGTTTTCATATTTCCATGCTGTCACGTTTTTAATTACATGTCTTCTATTTAACAATCATCTGAAACCGCATTCGAGTAGAGATTACTGATAGAAATCTTTCTAGGAAATTAAGAATTTTCCTTTGAAAGGTTCATCAAGAAAATTTCTTTCGGTTTTAGTAAAAAAATAATAATAATTTTAAAAAATAATATATATATATATATATATGTATATATATATATATATATATATGTGTGTATATATATATATATATATATATATATATATATATATATATATATGATATACCTTTAATGCTGTACTCGAAAAAACTTTTTACAAATAATAAAATGAATTTAGCACAAATGGGGATTTAATCGCAATTGAAAAAGTTTGCTCGATTAGCTTATTTTCCTTGAATATTATAATTATAATACGCATAAAAATATATTTAAAGAAAATATATATGCGCGCTTGCGCATACACACACACATACACGCATACAAAACCTCTTTCTCTCTCTCTCTCTCTCTCTTCCCCTCCCTGTTCTATGGTATAAAGTGTCAAAACCACATTCTCCACCACTCGTGTGAATTCAATCTACATGTATCTAAATTATTATTTCATTATTAATCAGCTTAAATCGTAATGATATTTTGGATATAACTAAAAATTGCTGAAAGAATTGTTTTATTATACTTTCAAGTTTCTTATAGCAAGTTGCTTTTTAAAAGACTAACTTTTGCAAATCATATTTTAGCGGGTCAGCTTACGAAGGACAATGGCAAAATGGCAAGAGACATGGCTTGGGTATGGAGACTCGTGGACGTTGGCTCTATCGAGGAGAATGGACTCAGGGATTCAAGGGTCGTTACGGAGTTCGACAATCTACTACATCCACGGCGAGATACGAAGGCACGTGGTCCAGCGGTCTACAAGACGGTTACGGCTCCGAGACTTACGCCGACAGCGGTGAGTACCAAAAACTCCACTATTTTGACTAAAAATCCTATTATTATATATTTTAAAGTATATTCATGATCAGGTCACAATGTATGATATACAGGATTCATTTTACATCCGTTTATTTCATGATTGATTATTTATTGTGGAAAATATCAAAAGATGTTAATTTTGTTTTGTTTTCGACATTTAAGCATATTAAGTGCAACGAAATTTTTTCATCCCCTTCGTCAGGGCCCTTAGCTACCCCTTCGAAAATCTAAAATGGCAATAGGAGTCAAGTGGTATATCAAAAATAAGATTTTAAAGATCTTTCGATTCTCTGTGCAACTTGTTTCTTTTTTTCATTCAAGTAAATATTTTTCGAGGAATCGCACTTGGACATTTTTGGTGTCAAAACAGTTTTACAAAAATACATTTTGGAGTGGAATTTATTTATTAGTCATTTATTACAACAAATGTTCAAAATGTTCTCCATTGTTTTCTAAACAATAATATAAACAATTCTCAAATTCTGAAATTTCAATATTTTGAAAAGTTTCTACAGGAATAGCTCTGCATTCTTGTATAATTCTTCGAAGCAAATCGTTTACATTTTCTACTGGTGTTTCATAAACGATGAATTTTAAATGTCCCATACAGAAAATATCTCTTTCCAAAATGTTCGTATGTAATGTGCTTAAATGTATCCTTCTCAAAAACAAAATTGACGTCTTTTGGTGTTTTTCGCAAAAAATAGTCAGTCATGAAATAAACGAATGAAAAGTTTTGAAATGAACACCTTGTATAATTTTCATTTAATTTATCGCAAAACGTATTCTATATCGAATGGAACGGAGGAAAGACGAAACATTGGGGCCATTGTATCGCTCCAATTATAATAAATAACACGCTACTAAATGAGCCATGTCATGTCCGAATTGAAATGAAGATTAGAATTACTGACAGTCGATCGATCATTGCTTTATAAGAGTTTGCGCATTACTAACGTAAAGAAGATCATACTTATTGTTAACACAAAATATCGCCTCGATGCACTAATTAACACGACATCTATTACATTCACATACATGTTATTCTTCTCGGTGAATAAATATAATTTCGACGACAGATTTCATTGTCAGCGTGTTATAAAAAGAGATTATTATGAAATTACATAAAAAAATCTCTTTCCGTAACAATTATCATATTTATTCATTACGAGCAATAAAATATTTGTTTGAAACTATATATAAATCTAAAGATAAGTCTCACGATTTCTTTGTATTGTTCTAATAAATCATTGGAACTAAATATATAAATCAAATGCTGAATTTTCTCAATAATAATCTTCTCTATTACATCTCGTCGCATTGTAATATTTTTATTATATTATTTATGGCATCTCAAGATCAATCTCATGATCTCAAGTAAATCTCAAGTAGAATTCAGAAACTGGAAATGCTCTAGCACTGCCACGTCACATTGAACACGCGTGCGTACATTATGCTCGTCGAAAATAGCATGTGCGATCGCTCGACGAGAATTATTCGACATTTATCAAACAGCATGAAATACTCGATTGAATTATTGTTCCTAGTTTGATTTACTTTTAATGAACCATTACTTGAAAGCCTCTTTTTTTCGCTATATCATAACTAATTTTTTTTGTGTTATGTAAAAGTATGAAATCTCATCTGGATACATTAATTTCTTCCAGTAGAATTATATATTCTGTGCTGCAACTGTACACATTTTCTACAATTAAATTACCCGTTTCAATGTCTTAGAGATAGATCGGTCTACAAAACCTGAAAAAACGCGCAACTCGATTTATAATTTAAATAAAACATTGAAATCCAGCAGATATAATAAAATGTAATAGAATTTATTTACATTACCGCGAATATTCTCTCTCTCTCTCTCTCTCTCTCTCTCTCTCTCTCTCTTTATATGTTCACCTTTCTTTTTGCTTCTTGCAATAATCATAAATGGAATGCCAGCACTTTTGATGCACAATCAAACAAGCACAAAAGCTAGAATAATTTTTCATCGATTCTTATCATAAATTGATTATTTATCAAATAATGAATAAATGATTATAAACGATGTTCGAACGTGCATTGCCTAAATATGTATGACAATATTCTTTAGTCACTTTTATGCAAGAAATAATGCAACAATAATCACAAACAGATTAAACAATCTTTCGAGCAATGTATCAGACAAATCTTCTCGAGAGAAGATGAGCGACTTATTGCCAAGTGATACATTTCTTGTGAAGTGCAATTTGAAAATTTGACTTTAGATTTATAATCTCTCTCTTTAAAAAAATTAAACATCAAATTGTCTTAATTTACATCAAAGACAAGAGACAAATCATTTTTTATAATTCAAATTCTCTAATTTATTATGAAATTTGATAGCAAGTCACACGCATTAAACGATTAGTCACTCTTCATTAATTATTAAATTTGTTGTATTGAGAGAATTTTATATTCTAGGTTTTTGAATTTTTATTTTATTAACATTTTTCAAATACATCTACACATGCGATTTTACACTTATTAATATTATATTAAATTTAAAAAAAATAATTGATTCTGGATGGAAAGTAGAGTATAAAAAGATTAAAAATGATGTGGACAATATACAGTTTTCCTGCGGACATTTGTAACACTTAAAGGGTGATAAATCTCGATAAATGGAATAATTTTTGTTAAGCAACCCGTTTTCCGTGATGCCTCCTTATGCCGCCAGGCTGCGAATGCTATTTGATTTCTATATGGTTAGATTAAAATTTAAAAAAATCATACGTTTTTTAAATGATATTTTGTTTGCTTCAAATTACAATAAAATGATGTTTAAAATGACGACCTGCAACCTCAATACAAATATTACATCTACGGTGCATTGACTAACGCACTCTCTGAAAAATTCCAGAATTATTGCGAATTGTATCGCATGCGTTTATAATCTTGTCAATGAACTCATTTCGGGTATTAACAGAAGTTGTATACGCTAAACTTTGTCTTAAGGAGGCATCGCCGAACAGGTTGCTTACATAACAAAAATTGTTCCATTTATCGACATCTATCACCCCTTTAAGTTTGTCGCAAATTTCCGGAAACATTCTGTATGTGTGTGTGTGTGTGTGTGTGTGTGTGTGTGTGTAGCATACACGCGCCCGCACACATATACATATATATGTATATAAATAATTATTATATTTCGTATCTCTTTGGCAAGTACAAACTTTGCACTATTTGTACTTGGGGAATAATCTGTTTTAAATTCGGAAAAATTATGTGCAAATATATTTTAATATCTTTCTTTTATGGGAAAATTTGTAAAAATAAAATTTTTTTTATCATCTTGGCACCAGTGTTCATCGCGATGGTGCGGTGCGAGATAAAACGAGAAAAGAAGGAAGAATAAGAAAATGAACAAGGTGCTGTACATGTATGTGTACCGCGTAGAAAAGGGCGAGTCCATGTAAACACAAGGTAGAGGTTTTTACCCATCTACTGTGGCGCACGCGGACGCACCCAACTTTTCCGCAAAAAGACTCGGGTTAGTTTAACCTCCCAGTTTGAACCTTTCCGTTACGGGTCAAGGTCGCTTACGGTATTCTCACCTTCACCCGCTACTTTCTACTAGCGTCGTGTAACTTCTACGATGAAATAAAATCTACGCGGTTTTTTTCGCAGTTACCAACGTTTCACTTTCTTTCGTATTCTTCTCGCAAGATTTTATTACATTAGCATAGATATCTTTACATCCGATGTATTCTACTAATACATATAGATAACACACATGATTTACATAAATTTATTTTGTCATTAATTAATTATATTTCAATCCTCTGACAAAAAAGAGAAACAATTTCCATCGTAATATTTTTATCATAAATTTTCTTGTCATTCTAAATTATTAAATGTTATTAGATCAATGTTTACATAATCCTTTCATTTTTTTTATTGACATTGCATATGCGTAATGTACATACTAAGTAAATAAATCTAGGCTCTTTAAGAATCATTTAAATCTTATGTAATGTGTTTATAATCTAAGAATTGAAAAATTTCGAGAAAGGACAGGAGATAAAACAAGGATGAATAAAAAAAGTGCGACATTTAAATTAAGAATTTAATCAATAGGTTGTCAAAAATAGATTCTTTGAAAAATATAGAATCAATTTTTGCTTGGATTATTCTGAAAAATTCAAAAAATCAAAAGTGAATATTCTATATAAAAAAATACTCTGGAAAAAATAAAATATATGACACACAATCAGAACAACAAGGAAGGAAAAACAATTTTTTGAAAAATGAACACGAATAATAAGTATGGCGCACGAGTATATATCCTACATCCACATATTTTCGGCATGCGTGTATCTCTTTTTTACATATGCGAAATGCGGCGTATGAATACAAACACAATCAATAAAATTTTATTTTTCTAATTTATTGTTTCATATTGTACACACATACAATACACACACGCGCCTGATAAAATCGAATAAATTACATAATTATTGCAACATCTTTCGTTTTTAATTAAATTTTAAAAAAATTTGTGTTATATTAAAATTCAGTTTTTGCTATAACTAATTAACATAATTAAAAAGAATATGCTATATCTTTATATTACATCTATATACATATATATATATATATATATATATATATATATATATATGCTATGTCCATATATCATATTTAAATAAAAATATTCTTATGAACTATAAAATTACAATACAAGAGGCAATAAATGATAATTTATATATGTACTATATATGCACATACATTCTGTGATATTCCGCGCTTTTCCACATTATTTCCTATGGAATAAATTATATTCTTTATAGGCAAAAGAAATTTGGCCTTTAACTAGAAATTAACATACATAAACCACATATTCTTAATGGAGCTTTTGAAAAATGTGCAAAATGTCTCGTGCACCGGCGAACCCGACCTCCAACTTGACAAACATCACCCTTATGGTGCCGTAAAACAACGAAGAAG